TGGAAACGGAAAAGAAACTCTTTTTCGCTGCCCTCACCGCCAGAGCATAGGCCCAATAATGGGCTCTCAAGTGTGTTCGGTCAGATTCATTCCGTGTTCTCCTCCACCTACGCTCTAGCCGTCTCCCAACCTGCTTCATCGCCCGCAATTCAGGTGTATACCTTTCTGAGTATCAGGCTGACAGCTGCGAGGACTTAAGAGAGGATTGCTTGTTGTTGCACTCTAATGAGAGGGGCCGAGAAGTGGTTGCAGTAGCAGATAACAAAAAAGGAGGATATTTCAAAGAAGCCAGAGCTTGTTCTAAGGGCTACTCAGTGTCCACAGCAGCATAGCCATGCTTGAGTCTAGCTAGCTCTGGAACTGTTACATGGAGCAGGGAGTTAGATTAGACTGGGGGCTGGAAACCTGGAGCCACTCAGAGGTGCGTTTGGACTACAGCACTGATCCACCCCAGCCAGCACGGCTAACAGTTGAGGCTGATGGGAGCTGCAGTCTAACAATACGCAATCCGCTTCCCTAGATGCACCCTGTGCTTCCTGAACTAGATGGCTAGCAAGGCCCACTGTAAGTTCATAGCATCAGATTGCACCTGTATGATTGATTCTCCGGTCACGCTGGCTTCCCTTAGCATGGCGCACCTCAGGCCCTCTCACAGCACAGCAGAGCGCTCCAGATGCCAGCACACATGATGCGTCTCAGAAGTCAGCGGTGGGGAAATACCGGCTGCTTTTCCTGCATGTTAAATGATGGGGCGTTGCCTGGGGGTTGGATTCAGCAGCAGTATTTTACATTTCCCTATATGAATACAACATATTTTCCATGTCACTTCTGCTCTAGAGCTTGTCTGCGTCACAAGCTTTATTGTGGCTCAGTACTAAGACAATTTTAATGCATTTTTAAAACATTCTTCAAATATGCAGTGGGTGTGTTTTGCCACTGCCCATCCTGCATGCATGTGTGATTTGTTATTGTACACTTTGAAAGCACAGCCGAGCCTTCCTTGCAACCTTTGTGCCAGGTGTAATTGTCATCAGTGCAGCCCAAAATCACATATGCCCATGAAACTGCAATGGTGCGCTTGAGCTAATGCTGTTTTTACAATTGTGTAGCGGAAAGGGGGTGCACTTGAGCATCTGGTTCACAAATGCCTATGGCTTTATATGAGTGTGGTGGCTTTCTCTGTAGTAGAATGTATGCAAGTGTGATGAATGCTGTATGAATAGAAACATATGCACATTGCACCAGCCACCAAGTGGAGATCTACTCACAAATAAAAGCCATGTGGAGGTATTTAATTTTAAAACATAATTTTACAGAAGACATAGCTTCAGCCAAGGCTATATGAGTGTTTTGCACCTTCCACCTGCTATGCCAGAAAGCCAGATGGCCTGCAAAAAAGCACTGCTAGGGGCATGTTATCCCAATGTTGCGATGTCTGCATTATTTCTTATATTCTTTCAGAAACAATTCAAGGAAGTGTTCGTAAAACCCTAAACAGCCCGCTATACCGAACGGGCTCCTCCATTAGCCTATTGTAAAGCGTAACTTTGCGCGAGAGTGCCCTCTTGTGGCTACTAACCACGCATCCGCTCACACACTGTTTTGGCAAACAGGAGAGCATTCTTACCACCACCCCAGCTTCCTTAGAAATTTGGCCGAATTTCCGAATGGCTGGTCTGGGAATCCAGCGGAGTAGATGGTGGTGAGGTTTTCTTTTTGTTTGGTTTTTGAAGCTATTGTTAAGATGTAACTGAGCTCTACTTTCACCTAGATATTCTCTCTTTGCTCTGCATCCCTGGAAAGGTGTAAGGCCATTAATTTGTGCGACAAAGGATGATCATGGGGGTCTACCCACAACTTGCTGCTCCCTAGATTCTGTAGCTTTTCAAAATATGCATCCACTTGTCATGCATGCACACAGCCACTAGTGCAAAACATACCACCAAAAAAGAAGACAAAAGATAGCACTGATTTGGATGACATTTGTATATGCCAATTTATATCTATGCGTGCACCTTTAGGAAGAATTACTTCAAATTCATTAACAACACAATACGTTTTGCCAGACTACCAGTTGCTACCTCTTGACAGGCCACTGGAAGGGCCTGCTGCTCTCCCTGCATTGGCTTCTTTATCTTTAAAACACAACTGAATGTGACAGCCCTTCAAATAAAGATCTTCCCAACATAGGACTACACTCTGCAATGCAGAACAAATGGCCAACCTAATTCAGCTAAGTTGCGTCACTAAAAGCAAAATCAGGTCCCAAACACTTTCTTCATGATCAATGAACTACTGATCATGAAGAAAGCTAGGAAGATGGACAAAGTTTGATCTGCCCTGTGAACAGACAGGAGGAAAGGTGTAATACAAGACTCCAGAGCATTTGGACCGTGAGATCAAAACAGAAAAATAACAGTTTCATTACAAGAAATAGCAAAATGTTGGGAAGAACTGAAGTTCCTCTTGTAAGGAGGAGTCCTTCTGTTCACACAATGGTCAATCTGGGTTAAGTCCATTCAGTGCATTCACATGTCATGACAACCCACCCACTTGAAGTATCTACTGACTTCAAGGCTTCATGTAGTGGATCTTCCATACGCATACAAAGATACCCAAAATTCTGCTGTTTTAGGAAAAGGAAGCCTGCATCTGGAAGGGAGGAAAAAACGGCTGCCTTGTAACCATAGAGAAAGGCAAAACAACCTGCATTAGAACAACACAGGTCTGACACAAACCTCAGGAAACTGCATATGTGACTACTGAAAACACCCCTTTGTGTAAAATCAAACAAGTGCTGAACCCATGGAAGTGCCTAACTTAAGTCCTGGTTATTTCCATGGCTTTAAGTAAGACTTAAGTTGAATTTGTGTCCCGTATCCTTTACCCCTCCATGTTAACATGTGCAAATTGTGGACCTTGCCATGAGGCAAACGTCTGACCGCTTTTCTCCCTGATCAGCTGTACATGTGCAAGGGCAGCCGCATGCACTCCTTTGGCGCCTGCATCTGCCTTCACCTTCAAAGGCTAGTTTTCGCTGATGTTGTCACTCATTGCTCTTTAAAGGCCCACACTTTGAGGACACATGAAGTGCACATGGTTTTCTGTGTATCCTGCTGTGCCTTGCCTGGCTGCTGATTTTTAACTGCTTGTCTTTTAACCTTCTTAATGTCTGTTGGAGATATGATTCTAAATTCCCTGGATGTGTGATTCTTATTCATTTTAACTCTCCTTTAGCTTTCCAAGAACCTTGCCTTTGGGTTCTGACTCCCTCAACATTAAGGATAAGATGTTTTCCTACATGCCCAGAATTCAAAGCCAACAAACCCCTCATATGTGTGCTTAGTTACTTGTATGCAACATATGCATAATAAATCCATGTAAATCAGAGCATGCATCTTAACAGCAAGTACAATGCAGAAAATCATGCTTATCATGATGTTGCACATTATTTTTCCCATTTTGCACCTACAAATTAGGCAAAGAATAGCCCTATAATTTGTCACAGTATATTTTTGTAGTGGTTGTTTTCCTTCTAATGGACTGCAACCACAGGAGTTTCCCAAGTGAAGGGAGTTATGAGGCTTGTAGCCACATCCAGTAAGTTTTCATGGTGGTAAATAAATGCTGGATAGACAAGGCAGTCTGCTTATGTTGATGGCCCATATCAGAGATGCAATTAGTACTAAACCACAAGGAAAGCCAACCATTTCCTGAGCAAAACAAAGGTGGGAAATGAGCCCAGTGCAAGCTATTTCTTCCCTCTGAGCTCATCCACCAAACATCTGTGGTCTAAGGGGTTTCAAACACCTTATCCCAAGAATTTCCAGTCCCCACAGGGAGACAAAGCCCATTATTTTTCCCATTCATTGGTAAGGTAAAGGTAAAGGTTTTCCCATGACATTAAAGTCCAGTCATGCCTGACTCTAGGGGGCGGTGCTCCTCTCCGTTTCCTAGCCGAGGGAGCCAGCGTTTGTCCGCAGACAGTCTCCGTGGTCATTTTATTTTTTTATTTATTAAAACATTTCTATGCCACCCCTTGCCGAGGCCTCGGGGCGGCTTACAACATCAAATAAAATACAAAATACATATCATGCGGCCGGCATGACTAAACACCGAAGTGCACGGAACGCTGTTACCGAAGTGGTACCTTTTTTATCTACTTGCATTTGTATGCTTTCGAACTGCAAGGTTGCCTTGCACAGGAGCTTACCCCATGTGCAGATTCAAACTGTCAACCTTTCAGTCAACCAGCCTAGCAGCTCAGCAGTTTAACTCACTGTGCCACCACATCCCACATTGGTAGCAAGGAACAATAAAGGTTTACCCTCAGAACAGTGCTGGGCTCGGAGTTAAGCACATGCCTTGTCCTTGCAGGATCCTGAGGTCAGAACTAGGTGAGGCTTCTCATTTCTCTGCTGTGGACCATCTTGCCTTTGAGGTACTTTGTTCTGTATCTTTCAGTGATAAGCAATTCAAGCCCCGTTTTCACTTTCCTGCTCACTTTAGATTGTCATGTGGAAACATGTTTTTATTTTAAAAAAGAAAAAAGCTAACTATTCACACCAACTGCGAATCAGTGGAATATATGTATTATTATGCCATGCATGATAATATGTATATTATTCTAACCCTGTTGCAAAGATGTTAGGGACTAAACTTAGCAGGGGAAATAGTACTAAGGTAGCCTGCCATTGCATTTGTGTGTCCCCTGGTGTGCTTTCACAACCCTTGTCCTTACATCAGAAAGCTCTGTCTCTATTTTACACATGAAAACAACAGATTGATTTGTTGTGTTGATCCCAGCAGTAAGCCTAAGGGTGCTGACTTGCCTTTGTCTTGTCTTCTGCAGCTACTGCGATAATGAGTCATAGATGTACTGATGGAACTTGGTGACATCACAAACCGTGTGGTGAGCAGTTTAGAGCTTCCACTGGAAGGCTTGTGCCAAGTCAGCACCCAATATGCACACTGGGTTTCTGGAAGTCCAAGGCGAGGAAATGAAGTATTCAGAGCTGGTAACAACTAAAAACGTAGTGTGTGCAGCTACAGGAGCTGGAGCCATCTTCCTGGTGGCCAAAACCATCATGGCAGGGATCAAGTGCCCGCCTTACAACCCAGAGCCCGTCCCCTTAGTAACCAGTGAGTAGATGGGATTCAGGGAGATGCTGAAGCATCCCCATAGCTTTTTATTGCATTTTAGAAGTGTCCGTCACTATGCGTCAAGATATTCAGACCACATTTCAGTTTCCATGTGGCCCTGGTGAACCCCCAGCAATCAAGACAAGGGAAGGGAGTGTCCTTTTAGATATGCTTCTAGCCAGTCTTTCCCAAGCTGATGCTTTCCAAGTGTTTGGATCACAACTCCCACCAGCCCTAGTCAGAGTCCTGGCTAAAAAGCAGGAATCCTGAGGGTTCTGGTCCAAAGTATCTGGAAGTCACCCAGTGTCCAAAAGTCTTCTCTAAATAGATATGTGGGAATAGTGTGTGCCTTTGTCAAATTGCAGGTCGTTTGCCTTATTTCATGGTGCCACCTGGCATTAATCTGCCATAACTCGGGCTTGGATGCATTGATAAAGCTCAGTCATGAAGGGCTACACTGTTCCTTCACCCAGTTTGGGTGAGGGGTTTTCTCTGTCCTCATCCTGAAAGTTTGCCACGAAAGGATATCCTTGTGCTTCCTTGGCATCACTGACCCATAGAATGCATCCAGTCTCTGCTATGTTCCTTGGCTAGCTGAGCGGTTTCCTTCAGGGTCTGCATTGTCTTCTAATGCCACAGCTGTGCATGTTCTTATCCATCTCTTTGGGATGAAGCAGTTTGCTTCAGTTTCAGATACCTCCAAGTATCTGGCAGAGACCACCTTCTAAGACACTGAATGTGAACAATGAAGACTTTGTAGAAATTGGAGATGCATCAAAAATATGCTGTTTGAAGACACACCAGCAGAAGATGGCCTCTTGGCATTTTGATTCCGTTTGGCACATACTCGATTCACCATAGTTTTAAGGCATGACCACTTCTGCCTTCCTGCTAGTCTTGGAGCTGCCCTCCTTTCTTTCCTGTTATTTTTTTAGGACTTTCCCAGTCCCAGCATAATAAACCTGTAATGGACTCTGGAGAACTCAAGGGACTCCTGGCCACCCTAAGTCCAAGATTAGATGACTACTGCAAGAATATGGTACTCCACAGCATCACGCGGTGTGTTTATCTACTGGATGCAGAGGTGAGAGTCCAGAATTGCAAGACATACAGTATACTGGTAGAAGATCGACCCCTAGGAGAATTATTTATTTATTAGATTTATAGCCCGCATTTTTTTTCTTTTTAAAGCATTCAAAGCAGTTTACATCATTCTTCTCCTGCTGCTCTCAATTTTATCCCCACAACAGCCCTGTGAGGTTAGTTGGGCTGAGAGTCTGCAACTGGCCCAAAGTCTCCCAGATGACTCCATGGCTGACTGGGGACTAGAACCCAGATCACCTTAATCAAAAGGAGGTGGAGTGTAATTTCATTATATTACCTTCCATCCATGCAGCAACATGTGGCCCAAATACGGTTCTTTCCTAAGCAGTTTCCAGACTGCCATTGACCAGGCCCAGACTTGCTTAACTCCAGCAAGGTGCCTGCCTACATTACTGTATACTTTCTGAAAGTCCCAAAATCCACATTTGGTTAGGTATTTCCATCTCACTTTGCAGGAACAACCTGACCTTTCAATATGGGTCTAGTCCCAACTGTGCCGAATGGGCATGTGGAATACAATTTAAGCTACAGGAGGAGCATGCAAAGGGTAGACGAGACTCTTGGCCTGCTGCTCATCACTCTCCCTCCAGGTTATTCCTGTCCCCAAGCCAGGCTCCACAATCCTGAGGTAGGAGGGGTAGACCGGAGGAGGAAAGTCCAGCAACTCTACCATTTTGCCCATCTGGGGCTTTAAATCAAGCTCCACGTCCTTGTCTGCCTGCATAATTAGCTCCATGTTGTCCAGGTCCACTGTGAGGTTGTGGGCAGCCAGAGACAAGATGAGCAACAGAGGCCCCAGGGCCAGGGCAACAGAACTTAAGACAGAGTCCAAAGGCAGGTTTAATGGAAAGTCTGAGTGATAGCCATGGTACAGGCTGAGATCAGGAACTAGAAGAATGCACAAGGGCAGAGCAAGGACGTGAGTGGCCTGGTAGGGATAGATGTATGGAGACAGGCGTTCCTTTAAGTATCCCACTCCCAAGCTGTTTAAGGCTTTATATGTTAGCATGAGCACTTTGAATTGAGCCCAGGCAACCTCTGCGGAGGACCAGCGCGATATGTTCTCTAGGGCCAGTCCTTGTTAGCAACCACACTCCTCTGTTTTGAATTAACTGGAGAGTCCAGACCAGGGGTCGGCAACCTGCGGCTCCGGAGCCACACGTGGCTCTTGCATCCCTCTGCTGCGGCTCCGTCGCTCAAAATACGCGCCGGCACAGCCGCCAATCTGCCATGGCGCCTAGTTACGAAATACCAATAGGTGATGATGAGGCATCCACTCAGGAACTCCAGAGCTAGCTGGTTAAGTAAATTGCTACATTCCTCTGCTATTGTGCAGGGAAAGAGTGGAACATGCTTCCTGCAGGCTCTCATGTTACACGAAACGCTGCTGAAAAGATTCTCTTTGTCCAAATGTAATCTCCTTCCTCTGAATGATAAAAGCTGAGCTTGGGACCTGTCACAGTTCACATCACTTGACTGTTTATCTGCTAATCAGTCATTAAACACACCTATATCCGTGACTTCCCCCAGTAGGCCAATCATGGATAAATCAAAGAAAAGTTTCTGAAGAAAACCAAATGTTTAATGATACATGGGTAGATTCATTCGCTTTTACTGCTGATGAACTTAAGGGGTTTGCTGTTTAGGAAGCTGTTCTCCTATTCAAAATATATGAAAGGAGTCCTACTAGTTTATAATGTAAGATTAAAAATAACAGTGTTTATTGACTGAACAAGAGCAGCAGCTAAATCATAATGAAGATATACATAGCATTAAGGTAAAAAACGATATATGCAGTGTTATCTTCACTTTAGATGTCAAAAGGGTTTTGCGGCTCCCAGTGTTTTCTTTTGTGTGGGAAACGGGTCCAAATGGCTCTTTGAGTGTTAAAGGTTGCCGACCCCTGGCCCAGACCATCTTCAAAGGCCAGCCCTGCGCATGAGTGTGTGCTGGCTAGCTGTTGCCATGATTCTTAAAATGTTGCTATCTCTCTTCTTCTTGCTAGAATTCTTCCCCTTCTGGGTGTGTGGACAGGTGGAGCAGGGGGAACTTTATCTGCAACTTCTTTGCTTGCACTTTATGTCTGCAATCATCTTTTCCATTTTCTTATCTGAGGTCCCTTGGATGTGTTGAGTTGGAAGCAAGGAAGGTGGGGAATAAGTACTCTTAAAAACAGAATTTAAAACCCTGTACAGTGAAAACAATGGGCTGAATGTAGATCTGAAAGATCACAAAGAGTTATTCAAAAGTAAATTATTTTTATAATTTATAATTTTTATTTTTTGCTGCCTCATGGTTCATAGTCCCCCGCCACCACCGACCCTAATAAACATGCAGTGGTGTAAAGGGCCAGGACTCACAGGGAGAAAGCCTTGAGACGCTTTATTTGCAGGAATGATCTCATCCTTGTTCCCTCTGTGCTAAACCATAATTCACAGATTGTGTGGGAGGACACCATGGATTTTCCAAGCAACAATTTGTTGTCGTATGTTAACCCTGTTGGAATGCAAAGTAGTCTTGGTGGCTTGCTCTTGAATGGGCAATTAACACACATTAAATTCACAAAAGCTTAGCTCCTGATGAAGACAGACTAAAACTGACTTGATGATATGGATAAATGCAGCTGTCAGCACTGTTGGCCTTCCCCTGTGGGTGCAGCAAAGTGGACTGTCAGGACGAGTGCCCGTGCTTTAACATTTATTGCTACACCATTTTCATACCCTAATGTCATGTGCTCTGTATTTCCAGGCATCTGCATGTACCTACGAGGACATCAAACTGGTGGCTTCATTCCTGGATGATCCAGACATGGGCATTAAGATTCAGACACTACATGCCCTCAAGGCCTTCACTGGCATCTGGAAGTTTAGAATTAAAATTCAGGTGAGAGATTCTATTCAGCTCTGGTCTCAGGCCCAAATAAATCCTATAATTATATTTGCCAAGTTTCATGTGGCTTCATTTTTCACATTGGAGTGCTTCTCTAGCTGATGACTCAATTTCAGCAGCTTTGACCAGAGTGGAAAGCTTTGTCCAGGGTATGCATCCTGACTCAAAAGCACAATGTCTAGGACAGAGGAGGGGAACGTTCATCACAGGGCCCTAACCTGGCCTGTGGAAGTTAACTGTCCAGCCCACAGAGCCTTCCTGGATGCTTTCAGGTGGGGATCTCCTATCTACCCACATCCCATGCTGTTATTTGCATTCTGTACTTGGATATAATGTTGGAGATTTCTTCTGAGGGTGGGGCTGAGGAAGCCAGGAAGGCTTTGCAGACTGGATGGGGAACCTCCATTGGCCAGATGAGGTCCACACACTGGAGGTTTCCCTCATCTGAACTAGATGTTGAGCTTCTTTGTCAAGCTCCATGCAGCAAGTTCAAAATGACCTACATGTTCTTGTTTCATACTTTGATGGCTTGCAGTGGGACCTATGAATTGGCTCCATGGAAAAGCTGTGAGACTCAGATGGGGAGTGCTATGAAAGCTCTGCCCAGGGGGTGTGATCAGTGATGACCCTTCAGGACTTACAAGCAAATGCTCCACTTTCTTTGTACGTGTGGGAGGGTTCAGTTTGTGAGAGTTGCCAGAACTCAGAACACAAACGCTCCCATGTAAGGACATAGCAGCGGGATTCAGAGGGCTTTCTTTGATGGAGACAAGAAGCAGAACCCAGTGATTTCTTACAAGACTGACGACAGACACTTGGATAAAAGCTACCTTCTCACCAAAGGAGCGCAGGCTTCAAAAAGTAATTGGCCAGGGGTCATGGAGAAGGCATATTATCTTTGAAACTCTAGTGGGGTCACTGGGCTACACTATGGTTTCACACTCTACAGCCTGTAGATCATTATCCACAGTATAATTTTAATGATATAATTATAACAAATTATAATTAACGTGTAGAAGCTACTATGCTTCTGTGCTGAACAAAAGCAATTGCAATTAACTTTTTTATTTTAAATTTGTGTGTTTTAAACTTCTGTTTAATTTTAACTTATGTTAACTACCTGGAGAGCCATGGTCATTGGGCAGTATAAAAATGAAATAAATATTGTGTAGTACAATCACTGCAAGACAACTTGGGCTTTCTGTTTTTGGTTTGCTCTAAATTTTTTAAGATTTGAGATTTAACATGTGTGGAACAACTTTTGTTTAGTATATTTTTTCCTAGCATGTCCAGAATTCAAGATTCATTAAAGGTACAAGCCTATGCAAGTTTTGGCAGAAAAAGAAACTACACCTCCCAACAAGCTTTGCTGTCTAAAGAAGCATAGGATGGAGCTTCAAATGTGCCTTCTGGGTATATGTCAGAATTCATGGTTTGTATGAAAAAATAAGAAATCATTTACCATTCTAAACTGATATGATAATTTTGCCTTGTAAACCATTTAAAAATAAGCAGCAGGAGGAAAATCAAGGTTCATAGAACCTGGAAGCTGGAAGGTTATGAAGCCAAAAAGTACACAAGTCGAACTACCATTCAGTCCATTGTTGTTCATAGGAAATCCATAATATTCCAGCCTTTGGTTTACAGCTATAAAAAGCTGTTTTGCTTTTTTGCAGGAGTTTATCCCTAAAGTTCTTGAAATAATTAGCAACATATGGGACAACGATGTGCACATTGCCGGACTCAGGTTACTGAATGGGCTGCCACTGCCAGATCACACACACGCATTGCTGAAAAAATGTGTGCCTCCTTTAATGGAAATCCTGCAGATGGGAAACACCTTGGCCCAGGTACTAAAGTTCAAGTCCTTCCCCAGGCTCAGATGCCTACCTTTTATTAAAGCACCGTGTGGAGGCCAACACACACACAGAGATACCCTACCTGCAGTGCTGATAGACTGTATTTGGTTTTTGTCCAGGTACAGGTTCTAAAATATCTCAGCATGCTGGCCCAGAAGGAAGACCTGTTATTTGGCATCATGAACTGCCAGGTAAGACATTTCTCCATCCGTAGAAGCTGGTGACTCATACGTCAGCAAGGTTCCTCTTCTACTGCAGCTTTGAGTTCTGTAGGAGCTATCCGTGGTGCTAATCTCTATCCCCAAAATAGGCTCACCACCATGAAAAGCTGCAGTGGATGAGGAGTCCCCTGACAAAGAGTCATCAGCCTCCCCTGAGCATTGGGAAACCTATGAGAGGAGCAAGAGACATGAGCAGAGGGCAAGACTAGACTTCACAGTCCACTGCAGTCAATGAACAGACGCAAGCATAGCTCCTTCCCGCTGCAAAAAAATGTGTCGTCCGAAGTCAATCAGTCACAAGGGTGGGGCACTCATGTCTAAGCCAAATGTACCATCTTCTTTTTCAAGACTCAAACTTCCCTGTTTGTCTTTGAAGGTACACCCTGAATTCCTCAACCTCTTCCAGCCTTCCCAACCTGGGAACCTCCTCTTTGAGCTGCTGCTGTTCATGGAACGGCTTTGTGAGGGTCGCCTGACACCCCACTACCAGTCAGTGCATTGGCAGTACAATGAGTCTTCTCTCCATGAAGTCGTCTTTGGAGAGGATTCCCGCCTAGCTGACAGTCTTCTCTCCCTCATCATTCATCCTGAGGAAGGCGTGCAGATCCAGGCCTGCAGGGTCATCCTGAAACTCCAGTTGAATGAGGGGAAGATTGCTGGCATCCACCCCTCTGACCCCACCTTCAGCAGCTTCTTCTGTGACTCCATGGCTGAACCTATGCATTAACCCCTTGTAGAACTTAAGAGAGAATTAAATTATTTAAACCAGGATCATCAAAAGAAACTAATGGTTTTGATTGATCTTTACCGGGTTACTAGCTGTCCTAGACCCAGGCTTTTCTCAGGAGTTTCCATATTACTTGGTAGCAGAAAATTAAAACAAGCAACAACCATAGTGTTCTGAAAGACAGGCTCAACAGTCCTTTAATCACTCTGTACCAGTAAACTACTTGACACCAGGGTTTGGAAGACACTGGGCTTGTCAGATGTACTTTGCTTTGCACTTAAACTTCAGGATGCACTAATTGGGAAGGAAGGCAGAAGCAGCTATTTTCAAGCTCACCTAAATCCTCTGAAGCTTGTTTTGACTCACTTTCCTTTTTGACTTCTGTTTGGATTTGTTTGAAAAGGAAGAGTGCATATTTTTAACAGGAGAAGTGTGTTTCTCTATCTTTTTTCGAAAGGACTCATACCATCCCTCACATTAACTGAACCATGAACATGTATTTTTAAAAAATCAAAGCATGTGTGTGTGTGTTTTAAATACATGATTACAAACATGATTGCAAGTTCAGAAATTTGCAAACATTTCTCCAAAAAAGTGCTGAGAAGAGGAGAACATTATTTAGTGACTTGCTTGCTAATTTATGGTGGAGGGATGCAACAAAGCATCGGAAGAAATTAAATTATGGTTTATGTCAGGTTTATGAAAATAAACAAATATAGCTCAAATATTATTCAATTTTCTGAATATTCTTCTTTTTCAGCTCACTTCTACCAAACTTTTTATACTTAGTTGAGAAGGCAGTAAAAGATTCACCAACTATTCCTACAAGAGGAAGCCCACAAGTAAGAAGAAACAGAAACCTTTTTCCTTCTCTTGTGGCCATGGCAGTGCCCCCTAGAGGCAGACTTTTAAAGTCTCAGCTTGCAAGCTAGGATTTATTTATCCTCCATGCATAAGAATGGCAAGGATCTAAGAATGTACATAGCCTTCCATAAGCATTACATACGTCTTCAGAAAACGTTTTTGGAGAGTAAATATATGCCTATCTTGTCTGAACGAAAATATTCATCATTCCCAAAGAAAATATTCCATAACCTATTTCCCCCATTTTTCAGGAAAATATTAAAAAAGGCTTTAGAAATGTTTCCCCTATTTTGGGGGCTTTCTGGGCCTTCACATCTCTGTCAGGTTCTTTATCCTACCTTAGTAATAGCTGCCAGGATCTAAGCTGGAACCACAGTGTTAGTCTTCTGCCTGTCCTGCTAAGATGTGGGTCAGGGACAGAGGCAGACAGCTTCTACAATGGGCTTATGCGCACCCAGCTGCCTTCTCACAGTGGTGGGGAAGAATGGCTGGAAGGTCTTTGATAGGGCCATGTGTGTCTTCTCTGACCTAAGCTGGCTTAACCCCTTCATGCCAATGTGCTTTCAACAATTACTAAAAGTGTACTTGTTTATCCTCATTTCACCCAACCATTAACTTGCCTAAATGATGCTGTGCTTTTATAATGAAGTACTGGTTTGTGAATTATTGTAAATAGTTCTGGGATTTTTAAATAGGAAATGATATATAAATACTGTAAAGTAAAATAAGAAATAGCCAAATTTCAAGGAATTGTGGATATACTATAGCTGAAGAAAGACATGTTGTGAGTAGCATTACATTTGAAATGAAGGGTACTTATCCATAAGCTTGAACTTTCAGAGTAGTCTGAAAGTCCATCCTTTCAAACATTAATTGGTGTCAATTTGGGAAGGGGGGGGGATCCCATGTGCATAACATCACAGGCCAAATGCTCCTATTACATCCATTTTCCTTGGCATAAAATGCCTTCACAGATTTAAACTCCCCATCTCCCCATATAGTTTCGAGATGCCCAGCTACCTATAACTTTCAATTTCTCAACATTCTGCCACAGATGAAATTCAAATATAATGAGGAAAAAGAAATTCCAAGGTGAAATACTTTGGGACTTACGAAAGTTGGCAAATGGTTACATTTCAGAGTCCAAGGGTCAACCAGAAGCTCTCCTCAGATTAAGGAAATTCAATCAACATTTTACATTAGAACATTTATTTCTCAGAGAGAAAATATAGTTTCAGACAGTCAGATTATAGTAGGTAAAATTAGCATTTTTTTTCTTTACAAGCATAGATTTTTATTACCTCTTATACCATCTGATATAAACAGTTCTAGAAAGCAAATATACTCACTTTCTACAATAAATAGAGCCATCTGTGCTTTACAGCAGACTGACAGGTCACGTTTAGGTCCCATAGCAACAGCAGAATATTAGCCCATTCAAATCGTTAAAATGTAATTTTTAAAAAATGAAAAAAGTAAAATGCAAGATCTTAAAACAGTTATACATAGGTCACAAGTCCACAGCTGAGCTACACTCTGGGAAAAGTGTATGTTGCTTTAAATTAATTACACTGTGTGCATACAAAAGACCCAGCAACACAACTGAGGACTTAAGAATGGTAACAATTGGCCTGAATAATTTAGAATACTATTTTACAACTATGTACACATGTTCCTTCCATAGCCACACTCTTCAGGCATTATTGACTATTTAAAAAAAGATTCCTCTTCATCATCTTTATATGTTACAGATATTTCCCATAAAGTGTGGTTTTATGTCCCAATATATAAGATGTGGTACTTTTCAAAACAGTAAACCACATAGAAATGGCAGTGATTTTTCCCCATTAACATTTTGTTCCACAATCTCTTTAGTATGAAAAAATAAAATAATAAAAATGAGTTTAAAAGAGAAAAAGGGCAATCTTTTCAAACTACAATCTTGCTCTGCTCCTTTGGTTTATAACACTTAAAAAGAAAAGACATCAAAATGTAGATAAAATATTTCTGATCTGAATTTTGATTTATCAACTTGCAAACTTCAGCTCTCCCTGCTTTCCCAATACATGCAAGTTTTAAAAAATTGGATTCCCTAAGGAGTTGTGCTCTATTTTTAACAGATCCCAATAACAGAAGCTTACGGAACACAAACACAAATGGCAAAATATTTCTGGGAAAGCAAAGAATGAAAGTGCAACGTGGTGTGGGGAGCATGAAGACAAGACAACATTTTGACTCAACCCCAAACAAAACAGAGCAATTTTCCAGGAGAAAGAGGAACTGTGGTTTCACATGGATGCCCTGATCCAAAGCCACATATTTCAACGGAGATATGGCACTCTAAGCAAGCAGATAAAGCTGGAGAGCACAGTGCGCCACCTGCACTGAGCCGCACAATAGCCCCCCTCTAGGTGGAGGCGGAGTGCACATGGAAGCAGGTTTCTACACACAGGGTATCCCCTCTATAGGCTGCTTCAGCTTCCAGCAGTCAAACGAGGCAGCAGCTACTCAGCCATAATTCAGTTACACACTCCCCCTGAACTGGGGTAATGGGCCAAATGTTCTCCAAACCACAAAAGGTGGTGCTTTCCCCATGCCCTAATAAACCCCAGTATCTAATGCCCAGCGGGTTAGGTGGTTTCTAACGAATTTTAAGAATACTGTTTTGTTTCTGTTTCAACAATGTATTAACTTGACACTGAAATGCAAAAACAACATCATAAATGTAATCACACAAAATGTTCCACAAGTAATTTCTTCTTCATATTTAAAGCTTTGAGCATGTAAGTGTGCATGAGGGGAAAGGGGAAGACTCACCAAAATATCATCTCGATCTTTTTTGCCAGTACGATCTAACATTAAAACTTATATAAACCTAGGTATGAAATTTCTAAACTAGGCTGTAAATCTTATAAAGGTAGTAGGGGCAAATGAGTGTTTTTAAAAATAACATGAAAAGCGATGGTGAATACTACTGTAAATTTGGCACACAAGAGTCATCAGGAGGAGACTGAGGCAGGCTCCAGAGAATTCTTCAGGACTAGTTGAATACTGAAAATATGACCGACTTGCGAGGTTTCCAGTCCAATCAGCAAGCAGCTCTGTTTCTGAGGCCTAAGCTTCTGCCAAGGCCACAGCATTGCAGTGCAGTGGCTCCTGGCATCATCTTATCAGTCAAAGCATTTCATTACTACTTCTGCTGGATCTTCAGTGGACATATTCAGAAGGAACCCAGACAGGCATTTTGGCACATATCAGGTATTTTACAGGAGCGTTCCCAACGGAAAGAAACAGTGCTTCTCTGCTACGAGCACAACCACCTTCACCTGCTTCTGTGCAAAGGGCAACTCTCCCACTAATTAGTGCACCCCAAGACCTTTTGTGCCTTTAGATGAAGACATTCTCTCCAGGAATAGCAGAAAGGGCAGAGTAGACTCCAGCTTCAGTCTCTACAGGTAATTTGGTGTGACAAAAGGATGGTCTCCCCGAACGCGACTCATATGGATCATGGCCCGGTCATACGCAACCTGGACAGACTTGCGAATGCTGGTTTTCCGTCCCTCCATCATCTTTAATTTATCCACTGTGTCATCTACTCCAAGGGGAAGAACTTTTTCCCGTGGAAGCCACTGCCTGCAGTTCAAAGGCACATATACAGACAAAAGTTATTTATGAAGAGTATAAAGAATGCAAGAAAATATATTTCTGGTGGCCTTGAGTGGTAGTTCTCTCTCAAACTGCATGGATCTGCCCAGTTTCCAAATTTATAGAAATAGTTGTTGTTATTCATTTTGACTGGGCAGAAAACTCTCCAAGAAACATCAGTACGTTTGATGAATAGTATTGCAAGATGCACCCTCTCCAGCAGAGGGAAGTTGTGTATTGGCTTTGCTTGGTTCTGAAACAAACAGAAGGCCTTTTCATCATTCATTGGAAGAAAGAAGAACTGTAAGCCTATCATGTAGTCACATACTCTGGTATTCTCCTGAAATCTCCTGAGTGCTTAAATATTTAGCTGTAAATGCATTCGAGTAACACCCTGATACAAAAAGGTTACTTTCTTTAGCCCTTGGTATTTACTTACCACGTCCTCTTGTTGTCAAAGAAAAGGACAAGGAAAAGCTTTTCTCCAGTCTCTGCTTGTTTCTGCTCCCCTAACTTCAAAACCTCCAGCGGAGGGACAGGGATTGGGACTCCATTGTGCAGGAGGCCCTCCCGTGGCATTTCAGGATCAATTATCTGAAAACACAAAATGGATAGGTAAAACTCCAGAGGCTCATTGCAGACCTCGGAAATTCAGTCCAAAGATACAGTCCTTTGGTAGTGCCTGAGGACACTGGAGAGAAGGTGGGAAGGCATCTAATGCATGATGGTAGGATGGGAATTGAGTTAAAATGCAATTAACCAAACAAGTTTCACAACCATCTGAGCATTTAGACCAGATCTAGTGTGTAGTCAAGGGAACCGTGAAGAAGAAAGAGTTAGTAGGGGTAGCACAATATGACTAATTATCTAATATGTACAGTAGGGCAGAGCCCAGCAGTGATAAGATGAATGGAAGCCTTTGCAGCAAAATGCTTCAGAAAAAGCTTTGAACAACTATAAAGACATCACAGCTCATGTGTACTCTGCATTTCTGTTTGTCCAGGGTACTAATTTAAAGTAACACATGAGGAAGATGAAAACCCTTTAACAGCAAGCGAGAGAGATTCACTGTAGAACTTCTCCTCACACTGCACTCTACCCCTTTGCTAAAGTTATCAACAAGTTACAGCCTAGAAAACACATGGTAAACTTTTCTTTATGGCTCAGTACTGACAGATTCCCACTTGTGGGCATAAATGAGAAAGACCTGTGTGTCACTGTTGTCAACACAGGGTGTGGTCCAACGCATGTTTAGACCGAAAAAGGCTTGCTGAGGCCTAAGTGGAGTTATAGGTCTTTCTTCAGTCTAAACTTGTATAGGACTGGGCCTTCAAAGTGTTTCAGAACATTGTTATTCAAATGACACTAATCCATCCTTGCTGATCCACCATTGAGTTTGATAGATCTTGCACTAGTTGTATTCAGCTACAGACCTTTGGATTCAAGGCCTTTATCACAGCCATAGCTGGATCATAATTAGAGTCTAGAAATTACAATATTTGGGTATCTATATGTGTGTGGGGGGGGCAGGATTTGCTAACCCCCTTCTTTTCTTTCCATAGTTGGGGATTTTTACTTGTGTTTTCTGCTGCATAAATATGTGTTCACACAATTCTTTCCCCTTATGTTAGTGGCTATATGGGCTCCTTAACTCTTCAGCATGACTACTGTAAAGAACAAATGGACTGCTTACAATGAGATATTAATATTTTTATGCTTGTCATACTTTGTGAGTTTCACATCTCATGTTGCATTCAGATCTTACAGTTAGCTACTTCGAACTTTAATTTCTGAATGTTTTTTTCTACTTAGATTTTGTTTTAGCTTTTAGATTTAGCAACCCTACACAGATTTACCTGCAGGTAGGTATCCCTGAACTCGGTTGGGGCTACTTTTACATAGTCGTGCACAGGACTAAACTACATCAAAATACTTGCTTCTGGTTACTTTTGCTTAATAGGAAAGCAGTTCTTTTAGTGCTGAGATAGCATGTCTCTAGTTATTTTACATTTGATTTCTGTTTTTTCTTCCATGATTATACCTCTAAACATGATGATGGATAACAGTTGATTACTACATATTCTCATTTGTTTGTTTATTCATTTCCACCAAAGCACTTGAAGATGGCTAACATAAAGAACCAGAAACCTTCCTTATCAGCATGAAATGGGAAAGTGGAAAGTATCCCATAAGGCAGGGAAGCAACCATCACCTCAAACCCCTGCTCTAGCTGGGCTGTCCCTTTCTTCTCTCCCAAGGATTTCCATCATCCACTGTGCCCTGTTCAAAGGATCCTTACAAGTTATTGTTCATATTGTGTTTAATGTTTTTATTCATGTATTTTTTAATCTTTCTTGTAAGCTGCCTTGGTTGGATTTTACTTTTATTCATATGTTATTTTCCCCATAATATACATGTGCCTTTGATTCTCTGTACTTAAACACAAGACTTAGGTTTATCTTTGTTGAATTAAATCTTCTGATTTTGACTCTACATAGCAGGCTCTCAAGATCATTTTGAATTCTGACTGTGTTTCCTGTGATGCTTGCTACCCCTTCCAGCTTTGTGCCATCTGAAAATTCGATAAGCATCCCCAACCGGGCTTTGTCCAAATTATTTATAAGCATGTTGAACAGCACAGGGTCTAGGACAGAGTTGTTTGGCTTTCTGATCAGAACTTCCCCCTGGTCTGATGCAGGGTCTTTAATGAGCATTTTGGTATAGATATGTTACCCATTTTCAATGCCCCAAGGAAGGCTGTTATTGAAATTGTTGGTAGGAGGTATTTATAAATCTCAATTACTTTTAAAACACCGGTTTGATGTTCAGTGTGTTTGTGTTGTCTCTCTTCCTTCTCTTCAGTCTAGCTTCCATCAAGTTTAAGCATAAATGCAGTTTAACCCTGTGCTGTCATCCATTCAGATCTTTTGTGTAGTACATGGTTCTATATAGTACTGTACAATTCAATGCAGTATACTTAATCCAAGCTATTTCTTACTAGAGGAGGCAGGGACAGGAAAAGCTTGCAGAGTTTGAGAAGTCATACACATAACAGTGTTTAAAATGGAAGAGATGTAGTTCCCACAGCTCTCCTTACACTGCAGTAGCAGCAATGACAGCAATAGGAAGACTTTTGTCCAGAAGATGTTTGTTTCATGCTCTCTAGTCAAGTTTCCACCAAGTACTTTAGCAATCAACAAGTGCCAAAATGCTTTTTTACTTACTTAAAAAGTGCCACAATGGGCAGGTTAGGATGAAATGTTAAGCCAGGATGGCCATGTAGCTAACCTGGGCTTAAACTAGCACCAGGGGTGTGAGGGGTGGGCGTAGAGTTTAACAATCAAGCATGGCGAGGGTCCTCAACTACCACTACCCCACTTTCCCTTGTTCCCAGTCAGAAACACTGCACTAGGCCACTGAGGGGAACAGGACAAGAGCAGTCAAAAGCAGACAATTCTAGCTGCTGTTACCCCCACCCCATCCCACCCCGTGGTCCTGGCAATGCTGGCAGGGAAACTGGAGGGGGGGGGGTAAGAACTGAAGGAAGGGTGACCCAGTGTCCCAACCTGGACTTTGGTACAGGACAGGCTCCAGCAACAGTACTGCCACCTGTCCTGTGCATCTCTTCCTAGGAAAGGACAGGCAAGGGAGATGGGAGGGAAGTAGGATGGAGCTGGCCAGAGTGACAGTCAGACAGGAAGTGCTTCCACATCTCCGGTTTCTCTACACCCAGCTTGCCTGCTTTCTCCTTCCCAAGGAGGCGGCACATGCAGCAGGCAGCAAGGGACCTGCCTTCGAAGGCAAATGCCAGTTCTGTCCATTCCTCGCCCAGCAGAGACAATGTTCTAGGGAGCACAAGTGCCACCAGGGAGCAGGAGAGTGCTAGGGAGCTGATGCCTCCCCTGGCAGAGCCAGCTGTGACTGCCTTCCTCCCTGCTCCTCTCTTTTCCCAGCACGGAAGCGGGGAAATAAGTCAGGGGCTGCGGAGGCACTCCGCCTGCCTTCCTCGGAAAAAAGATGAGTAGAACAGTTGGTTCCCCACTGCTGCAGTAGATAGGACCCAGTCACTTGGCCTCATTTGCTTGTGAGGAAGGAAGACCAAACAGCAGGCTCTTCCACTGTTCCTGCCAATGCCAGAGGCAAAATGGAACTGCCTGTGAGCACTCCTGTTCTCCTGCCAGCATCAGCAGGATGCATGGAAGTGGGCACTCTGCTGGTTGTCACCAGCTAGGGTTGCTTGGTTAGAATGCAACTTTTTCTGCCCATGAGACCCTTCTAATTTTGGGCTTGATCATGGCCTAATGTGTTCTCCAGGGTTGGACAACACTCTAAGCCACAGAGGGCTTTCTAAACCCACGGAGAAGCCGTGGGCACTTGAGGTGGTTTATAACCTACCCCAAGGAAATAGTTCACATAACATGCTAAGCCATCCCCCAATACCTTAGCATGCTGTGTGAACCCAGACAAAAAGAGTTTGCACTTTCGCTTGCAGAATACCTCGCATACATCCATGTCAATGAAATCTATTTCAGTTCCAGGTTGTAGTACAATCAAGTATTGCACAGTCCTGAGACATTTGCATAGGACGGGATATAAATATGAATAAATAAATAATTATAAAAGTGAGCAGTGGTGAATACTTCTGCAAGTCACTACATATCATCATGATACATCACAAGTTCAATGTAATATTTTATTGGCATATTTAATGATTAATGCAAGTTTTATTCAGAAAATGCTTTAAAATATGACTGAGGGTACCTGCATAGGCATCCTAATGGCCAGGTCTGCCGCTTTTATATCAAAAGAGGAAAATAAAGACATTAATTAGTTCACACAAAGGATGCTTCCAAACAAGCCTTTTATCAAGCAATCTCTCAACCTCATTCACCGTATTTCCAGAAGGTCCAAATGTCATCTTCAGCTTGTAAACTTTCTATGTTATCCTCCTACTGCGACTTTCTCTTTCCACAAAAACATCCATTAAGGAGCAATAGCTGCATAATGTCTTTTGATTATTAGTAATAGGAGCGGTTTATATGGAAGAACCAACAGTTAACCTTTGCATTCATATCCCTTGCTTTCAGTGATCAGCCCTGACAATTCAGAATCTTGCAATTTTTAAGTCACACATTTATTACAAAATGTGTATGTTTCCTATTCCTATTCTGTAACCACAACAAACACATTGTCATTCCAGATAATAAAAGTGCTTGCAGATGGAGGGCTCCTCACCCAACTGGAAGGCATTGTGCAGCTATTCTTTTTCCCATGAATACATTCTCTGTGGCAATAAAAAAGAGGGAAGGTGGGAAAACACAGCAGGTTTAAGTGGAAGATGATGACATCTAGAAACCAAATGAAATTCCATGAATGAGACAGAGCGATGGCACAATAAAAGCCCTGCCTGGAAGCACCCTAAGCAATACTCTGAATGAAAACATCAGTGTTTTGCACGATTCTTCCAGCAAACCTCTTCTTTCTCCAATGAGCTTCATTGTGCACTTAGCACCAGACACTAAGGTATTAAGATGTCCACCATGGAAGGAAAGCCAGTTATGAAACAGGCATACATACCAGTGCTGGGTAAGAAGGGTAGCCACGGCACTTTGCCCACACAAGCTCCAGAGGTTCTAGTTCAGTGTGCTCCTCAAACTGCATCAGCAAGTTTCTACCTAAGAAGTCACAGTAAGAACTGAATTAGATTTTCCCCTGTCAACCGCATGGATTTCTGTCCTTGAAAGTAGCTGCAGATCTATGGGTGAAGGTTAGTGTTATGACTATGAAACTGAGAAAACGTATCCTGTATCTGACATAGCATATGAATTGTAGCTAAAATAATAGGCCAGACATGCCAGTTAAAAAAGCTGCAGTAAGCAAAACAGCGCTCTGTCTTCACACTCCAGCTGGGTGACACTTCCAACTGAAAGTTGCTGCTGTCCCGAAGGCAAGCACCTGTTAGGGTGCAAGGCAGAAAAGCTTAAGCAATGGCGTTAAGCTCCCTGGTGCGTTCCGGAGCCAGGCTGTTTTGTGCAAAATGCCCTTTCTAAAGCTCCTCCCTCCAAAGTTCCCCCTTGCAGCTCTAAGTGCCCCCAACATGGGCCTGGGAAGATAGAGCCCCATGTCATGTCATTCATCAGGGCTATGGTCTCCCTGTGGGGAGCCTGGGTACTATGCAGCAATTTGCTGTGACTGAGTGCTGAGTTCACCGTGTTTTAAGCTCTGCCATGGTGCTCTGGGCAGGGCAGCTATTGTCACTGAGAGGGCAGCTATTTTCTTCACCCTCCCATTGAAGGAGCTGAGTAATATTCATTGTGCCTAGTCTGGAGCTGGTGGGAAGGTTTGCTTTCAACAGGCATATGTCCATAGACTGGAGGTGTTATGATGGCAGCAAATCTGACATTCCACTGTCATAGCAGGGTTTCTGCTGAATCCTATGGGTCTTCAGCCAGCAGATCTTTAGTACAGGTTTCCTCCCTAAACCAAGATCCATGGTAGAAACATATAAGTAAAGCCTGTATTGATCTTTACATATAAGTAAAGTCTGTATTTCAGCGCTATTGATCACAATGGCTGCCACAAAGACAGAAAGACATGCAGGAGAAAATCCCAGCTCTGCAGTAGAGAAAGGCATTTTGTATCCAGCATAAATTCTGCAATTTAATTTTGAATACATACCCACTCCAATCCTGTTGCCCACTCTGTGGATTCTCTCAGAGTGAGTGTGCAGGTCCAAAAGACAGGTGATCTCCAGGGACAACCCACCCCACAATGCCTCACTCTACCAAGACCTTTCAGAGCCAGGCATTTAACCGTGGCTGCCTCTCTGAAGAGCTGTGCCAGCCCCTTTTCTAGCCAATATGGCTCTTCAGGGAGCTTGTTCAGCCTGCAGAGTGGGTGGCCACGATGGTGATGCAGTAAGCAGGAAGGGCAAGAGAGAGGAGGCAGGCAAGAGACGGAGGAGGGGAGGAGCAATTCCAGGGAAAGGCACTGGCACAGATGCTTTCCCAGGTCGGACGGCAGGAGTTTTTCACTGGTACTGACTAAATGTGCAAAATACAGTATTTATAAGAATATGCAAATATTCAAGGTACTGAAGCTCCAGGTTAAGAGCCCTGAGTAGCCCCACTCTGAAATTTCTCTAGATACCGACAACCAATGTTTAAGCTTTTCTCTATATCTAGAGAAAAAAGAAATTCATTTATTAAAATGAAATTATCAATATGTAGTAATAATAATCAAAATAATAATATATAATTTGCCAAAACCTATCTTGCCAACAGCTGTATGATGGAACAGACTCCACCATTCACTAAGCCATAAAAGCGACAAGCCATAGATTGATATCAACAAATTATATATTTACCAAATGATCTTATGCATGATTGCTCAAAACCAAGTTGCACTGTTCAGACACCCTTACAGAAATGTGCAAAGGACTTCAGTCCCACAGTGCTGCTATATATATTTTTTTCAGAAATAAGATCCCTCGAGTTCAAAATCATTTCCTTCCAGAAAGTGGATATAGGATTGTAGCCTTAGCCTCCCTTGACACAACCAACAAGGACCAACTCCATGACTTGGTAGTCCATACTTCAGCTGTGCACTGTGCTTCAGGATCCTGCGCCCTGTCCTCTCACCTGAGCTGCTATATTCCAAGTCTCCATTCACACCATCCAGGAAAGGAACCCGAGCCAGGGCAGGTTTCCCTCGGCTACGTTTGTGTGGAGCCAAACCACTGTGAAAAAATATACATAAAGAGTAAGTGACAAAACAATGCTTAGTTTGAGTTTACTTCAAGTTGTGCCATGAAGTGAAGGAGGATATAAAGCAAAAACACAAGGGAGGCATTTTGGGTTGGTTACTGCACCACTGTGACAGTAAGTCCTTTGGGCCTGATAAATGACTTCAGCTGTTTCCTTTTGGCAAACCACCAGGCTTTGCAAGATGTGGGTAGACAGACCAGTAATTAAAGCCACACAAAGGAAAACATGCATGACCTCTTGTGAAATAATTGCTGTATGTCATGGGTAGCCTTATGAGGCTGCCTTGGTATTTTTAGGACTTGGATCAGATACAGAGGAGGAGTTGGAAATCAAGTTAACTCAAGTGCATTTTGGGGGAAACGGTTCACACATACTATGCTTCGGTGTCACCAGTATGCTGATGACACCCAACTCTGTTTCTCCTTTCCATCTCATCCCAAGGAAGCTGTATCAGTCCTAAATCAGTGTTTGTCAGCAGCAGTGGAATGGACAAGGGCAAAGCAATTGAAGTTTAGTCCAGAAAGGAAGAGGTGCTCCTGGTCAGCTGGAAGGCGGACCAGTGAATAGGGATTTAGCCTGTGCTGGATGGGGCTGCACTCCCCCTTAAGACACAGTTTTGTAGCAGGACTGATGCCCAGGTCTCGGTTGTGGCCAGGAGTGCATTTGTTCCAGCTGCACCCATTTCCTAAGCTGTCTGATTTGGCCGTGAAGACACAAGCCTTAGCCACATCCTGTCTGGATTACTGTAATGTGCTCTAATGTGGGGTTTCCTCTGAAGAGTGCTTGGACACTTCAGCTGCTTCAGAGAGCTGCTGCCAGATTGCTGACTGGGACTGGCTACAGAGAGCGCACAACTCCTCTCTTGAAACAGCTTCACTGGCTCCCAGTCAGTTTCTGGTCACACTTCAAAGTGCTGGTGATGACCGATAAAGCCCCCGACAGCTTGCATCCAGGCTATCTGAAAGACTGTATTCTCCCGTATAATAAGCCTGCCTCAGCTCTAAATCTTCTGTAGAGTCCCTTCTCTTGGTCACACCATCCTCGCAAGGTACGCTTGGCAGGAATACAGGAGAGGACCTTCTCAGTGGCTGCCCCAAAGGTCTGGAATTCCCTTTCTAGGGAAGCTTGGTTGGCATCTTCCCTGCTAGGTATCCAAAAGCAAGCAAGAAGTATTTTGTTCAAGCAGGCATTTGGGAATGGCCTGTATATTTGTGCTGAATTAGTCTTATTCTTTATATTGTTGGTTACTGTTTTTAATCTGGGTATCCATTCTATTTTAATATCTAATTGACTTAATTACATTTTAACTTGTGCATTTTAATGCTTTAATTGTATGAATTTTAATGTTGAAGCCTGCCTTCAGCCTCAGTCACTGGGAATAGATGGGACGATGATGATTTTTAATTAACTCATGAGCTACAAGTATGTGTGCCATGTATGAGCCACTTCCATTTTCCATAAACAACATACATTCAGTGAGATAATCAGAGGTTGTCAGCATTATGTGTAAACTGAAAAGAGTTTTTGAGGAGCAAACAATCCACTGGTTAATGCAGCAACAAACAACTAGTTAACCACTCGTTTGTTTTGAGGGTGATGTGTGAACACTGGATTGTTTAGCAATTCAGGTTCACACATGACACTCAAAAATTCCAATTGCGTTGACTGGAGGTTGTTTACAGAAAAGGAGAGCAGCTTGCAGGCAGTACATATCTGTGCACATAAATATCATTTAACCCACAATTTACCACTATGATGTGCAAGATGGGGCACCAGTGAGCCAGTGCAGCAGTAATGCTGGCTCTCCATGGGCCCAATGTTCAGCTAGAAGGGACAGGGCAGTGATACTCACTTGTACTGCCTAATGGTAGGGCCTTGTTATAACTAAGGGCTAGGAATTGGGGCTTTTTTAATGTGGAATTCGGATCTACACTTTACCCCTTTGCATAGACTTTCCCAAATTGGCACCTTCCAATGTTTTGGACTACAACTCCCAGCATTCCAGGTCCAATGATAGTTGAAGTCCACAACATCTGGAGGCCACCAGAGGTTGTGGAAGACTTCTATAGCCACCCATGGATCTGTGTTGGAAACAGCAAGTAGTTTACCCGAAGTAGTACTAATAACAAAATACAAAATTATGGAAGATACAGAAAAAATATGACACACGGTTAGAATATAATCAGCACCAATATACTATCTAGAATAATGCATACTGTCCAGAATACATAGGTGGGATAAATAATTCTCAAACTTGTAAACCTTGACACTGATGGAGGAGGAGGAGGCGGAGGAGGAGGAGGCAGCAGAGGCGGCAGCAACCCCAGCCACTGCTGTCAGGAATGAAAGGGATAGCAATTCTTGGCACGTGCTCCAAGGTTAGGCTGATACAGATTCCTCAGGAGACAAGGGGTTCTGGGAACCAGAATTCTCAGATGTTGCAATGAAACAAGTGGAAGGGCTTATTTCAAGGGCACCCGCCCCAAGTGTTCAGGCAGATGCTGGGAATAGGCAGGATTTACAACTGCAGGGAGAAGGCAAGGGAGAAGAACTCCTGCAGCCAGCAAAGCATGCCTGGTATGACTCCTGACCTCAAGATGCAATGTCGGGAGAGATGGGCCGACCAACTAGAGAGAGAAGAAGCTTACCCATTTCCAAAAGTACGCCAGCGAGGGAAGGGCCCAGGGGTCCTCAAGGGAATGCTGGGAAGTAGTTAAGAAGTAGTAGAATGCTGTTAATTGGGTTCAATGAACTGCTCTGTGCATGCTCAGAGCCTTATTCTTTGTTGGTTGTGCTTAATGGATGTGCATTGGAGAATAAAGAACTTTTGCCAAAGAATGATTTCTGTTTGCAAGTGTAAAGGGGAGAAAGCTGGCTTGTGACAGCTGCAACCCTACTCTATTTATGGCCACTGTGATTGATGCAAGTGACATCTCAAAGTACACACTGAAAGAAAAGACTAGAAAGTAGCAGGGGGAAGTGGGTATTCTGGGCAAGGTCTTCCAAAAGGGAGTTTACCTGCAGATGTCAAATGTGAGACCACTACCAAGGCCAGTACTGCACTCTGAGTCAGAACCGCTTTCCATATGCTTCCTGTAGCCATTGGTCACTGCTGCTGAGAAGAATGCACGTAAGAATGAGTCTAGCTGTACACATTGCTCTTAAACAAAAGCTTTAGATATCTTACAAAAGATAACAGACAGTAGACCACATTTCTACAATGTAACTAACCATGCTGTTTTCTTAATGTTTTGCTTTTTGTTTTGCTTTGCTTTGTTTTGTTAAAAGACCACATTTAAGAGAATGTATGAAATTCTCTTCTCCACTGTCTGAGCACAGACATGGTCACGATTTATCTTGCAACTGCTATGTTCAAAGAACTAGTTCAACAGATGCTCTCTTCCTCTGATACCACCATTTCCATACAATAGGCCTTAGCAGCTACTACTCATTAAGAAAGAAATATTCCTTATTCATTTCTTTTCCCTCCAGTACCTGGTAATTCCTTCAAGCCCACTGGTCAAATATTGCAGAACCCGCTTTTTAAAAAGCCCCAAACTCACTCTAGGCAAATAATGTTTTGCTTAGCAAAATATTTCAGAACTGAGTGCAGCTTTGGAAAATGTTTAGCAAGGTGCATTTTCCTGCTGGATAACTGTAAACCTCCACCCCACATTCTGAAAACCATATCTGACTCAGGATATGAGCTTCTCCACTGGAATCCAGCTGTTCTGGCACCTCTAGGAAGATTCTAGGAAGTTGTAGGGACTTCCAGTGCCACGATAGCACCAAGCTATCTGCATGCATAGCACCAAGTTAGCCTATCTGCATGCATAGCACAGCTTACTATGGCTGGACTCAGACAACATAATAACCCACACCTGAGTATGTCTCATAATAACCCATACTTGAAGGATGAGTATGTTATTGAACCATGGGTTGTTGCTGAAAGGTCAGTTACTGTGCCGCCTGAACCCAGCCATGCTAACATGCCATGATTGGTTAACTAATACCAACCATAGTTTGCAATGCAACAACCATGGTTCTCTTTATGGGTTGTTACTGGTTAATCAGCCATGGTTTGGTCACGTGATTGGGTTCAAACAACATAAGAACCCATGGTTCTGTGACAACTGATATTCCCTACTGAAACCTTTTAACTCTCTTAATTGCCTTTATTGTCTCTTAAGTCTGTCTGGTCTGTACCAGTGAGTCCCCCAGTCTCACTGAGGATACAATTGCATTTAATTTGTAAAGCTTTTCATAGCTCTACACAGTTAACACATTTACTGAATGAAATAATGTTGAGAGAGGGAAGTAAAATATATGCAAACCCCCCACATATTAATTTATGCACAGCAGGTCTCTGAACAAATGTATGAAGTTTTGACTCTCAGTACTGTTTCAAATGTAACATTTATCACTTATGACAGTGTTCCTCTGAACATACTGTATACATATTGAACATTCATGGAGAATCATCACTAAGGGACAGTCTCATGATCAGAATCCTAGATTCCTCTTCGAAACGTTACACAGTTAAAACATTTAGTTATTCTTAGTACGCAAAATCTATTTTTCTCCTCCTTTCAAAACAACTTACTGCCTTTGTATTAAACTGAAAAAGCATTATGGATATGTGTTTTGAAGATCAGATCAAAAACTAATCACAGAAACACCCCAGTTACTTCTAAATTGATACTCTAAATGGCAATCTTTAATGGAACTCAATCAAAACAAATGTATAAAGCCAGTTGTGTTCCTTGGTGGGCTCCAGCATGTGGCTGTTTTGAATATTCAACACACAGCTGCATCTTATCATAGCATGCAAACCCAGGGACTATGATTTTTATGAGAATTAAACAATGCTTGTGTCATCTGTTGTTAAGTGCCCCCCTGGTTCATATGACACAACAAGCCAGAGCCAGACATTGGATATGCAAATCCCGTTCCTTGTCCACTGCAGCCTACCATGGCTTAAACAACCCATGGTGAGCTGTGATGATCATGTGAACAGGGTCAGTTACTCTCTAAAGACAGCAACATCATTTTCTAAATATAAAAACAAATTCAAGAACATTCCCAGCTCTTTATGCTGTTAGATTCCCCTCTGTGCATTATACCATAAGTATGGAAGTGGGACAAAGTTGATAACTCAAAAAAGCAGACACTGTGGGCCTTAAAAAAGTGCACGTGGCAGGTAGATGACATGGCTGATTCAACAAGCACTTTCAGTTGCACTGAGAACAACTAGGAAACAGCATGGGATAAGCTACCTATGCCAGACATGAACTGCATGTGTGTCTATTAGTCTTCAAAATCATACTCTTAATTCTAGAGTAAGCACTTTTTATAGTCAACTTCACCAAATTTTTCCAAAATTAGCTGTTATGCTGGAGATAAACAAAAAGAGGAGGAGGCAAATCAAAGCATGTGACTTGCAAGGCTAACATAATATGGTTTACAGTGATCTGTAATGCAACAGGCCATCACAAGCAACCTGTTAACAGCGAATAAAATTCAGATCTGGCCTGGAATTGAATTTGCCTATCAGTAGCTGTCTGATCAGGATTATGGATAAGAAAGAAGACTGAGCTTGTGGGTTTGTCTCAGTAGTTTGTGATTAGATTAACATGTTAACCGTGGCAGCAGCCCACCCTCACCAGGTCTGGGGCCATGCTGCCAAGGATAGTTATGCTAATCCCTCCTTGGCATGAGACTGGGATGTGGGAGGTGGTTAATGAACTACCACCCTATGATTGTGGAAATTAGGTCATTTTGAATAAGAAGCATAGTTTATGTCTTCAGTCATGTTCCTGATTACTACTATTATTATTACAATCCTTTTATAGCCCACCCTTTTTCCTCTTCTGAGGAATCCAAGGCAGCTAACATAGTTCTCCTCCATTCCATTTTTATCCTCACAACAACAGTGCTGTGAGGCTGAGAGTTTGTGACTGGCACAAAGTCACCGCGTGAGCAACATGGCTGAGTAGGGACTAGAACTCAGACCGCTCCCGATTATTAGGATATGAATGAATACCAATTTTTCAAGCAGTGCCCTTATGGTCAACTTAACATTTTTATGTCCCTCATCTTATCCACTGTCTAGTTATTCCTGAACTAATCACTATCTCCCCCACAGTTTTTAATGTTCATTTTATATGTTAGTCATGCTCGTATCCACTTGTGCAGCAATTCTCTAGATACCTCATTACTTTCTTTTTAGGGATGTATGCATGTTTGTTTCTGCCCTTCCCTAATCCCCATAAGTTTGCTCACTCACAGAGAACGGGTCTACTTCTCTGTTTCTTTATGCACCCATATAGCAGTGGTATCACCTTTTTCCTGCTTTCCTCTTAATTTCTGTCAACTATAGGTTTTCAGCAATTAAACATATATTTCATGATACTTGGCTTCAAATAAATAAATCAAGGAGAACCCTTCAGTTCCAAGAGGGGAAAGTACATATACATATATAGGCAGCCCCCAGGATACAAATGAGTTCCACTCCTTAGAAAATGAAAATTTGTCTTTACATGATCCGACTTGCATACAAATTTGACTTATAGTCAGTCCTCCACATTTGTGGAGGTTAGGGGCACAGGACCCCAGTTAAAGTAGAAAGACTGCAACTATTTCTACCCTCCCAAGCAAACACACCAGGGCCTCCTCAGTGCAGCAAGGAAACGCCAGACGGCGGGAAGGGCAGGGCGGGAAGGCCTGCTTTGAAGGCATACCCCTCTACCCTTTCACGTTTTCTCTCTCTATGATGATGCTTTAAAGGCCCTCCCTCACTCCCCCCCTCTTTATGATGATGACAATTTTCTGCAGTCATTTTTTAAAAAAATGAATGGGCTTTATGGCAGTTCATAAGTACAGCTTGTTCATAACTCAGATGTTCATAACTTGGGGACTGCCTGGAAATAATATCAGACTATCACAGAATAGTAAGATGAAAACACAAATGTTAAGACATGAAACAGATGCAGGCACATCTTTGCTTTTTTGCTGTTTCAATGAATTGGTTATGAGAACAGTCCTTTTCCCAGTTAAGGAAGGAAACAATAGGACTGATCAGGCCATTTCACAATGGCGGAATAAAAGAAATGAGCTCCCTGAAGGATTTGCATTGGGATTGTTAACTTGTTTATAACTGACCTGGAGCTAGTGGTGAGGTGTTGATCTTAGCTGACAACACCAGAGTGGTTAGAAACACAAAAGGGTTGTGAAGAACTCCAAAAGGATCTCTCCAAAATGGAGGAATGGACAAGAAATTGGTTGGATCCAGACTTAATCATACTTAATAGATCTGGTGAAATCAACAATATCAAGTTAATCATGACAACTTTAGGTCCTGTCAATTTCAATAGGTCTAGTCTAAGTTTGAATAAGTGGCTCCAATTCAGTCTAAATAAGTGTTCAGTTATACACACTAGGATTTTAAAAAAACAAATATCACATATAAACTGATGGGTTCTGAGCTGGTAATGAATGACCAAGAAAGGAAACTTGGGGCTGCACCAGATAATATGCAACAGCAGTGGAAAAAAAACATTTTTGTATAATTAGACAATTAGAAAAGGCAACAAAATAAAACTGCCCAAATTGGAGAGAGAGAGGGAGAGAGTATGTGTGTGGTATGACCACATTTGGAATATTCTGCATACTTCTGGTCTAGAAGTTTCTATAAGTACTGCAGAGCTAGAGAAGGTGCAAAAAAGGACAACTAAAGTATCAGGAGCCTGGAGCAACTTCCCTATAAAGGGAGGTCCCTGTGTTCTGACTTAGAACATGGGTGAATAAGGTAGGATATGAAAGATATTTATGCAATTCCACATGCCATGGATATGCTATCTCCAGAATACTTTATCCTGTCTCCAGGATCAGAGGCAGCATGCCTTGTAACACCACTTCCTGAGGACCAGGGGCAGGAAAGTGCTGTTGTGATCATGTCCTGTTAATGTGTCTCCTGTGGGTAGCTGGTTGGCCACTATGTGAACAGAATGCTGGACTAGATGGACCTTGGTCTCAACTTGCACAGCTTTTCTTATGTTTTTAGGAACAATTGGAGAGGAAGTAGCTTTTCTCACTCTCTCATAATACTTGGATCCTCCAATGAGAACATCTGATGAGGCTGAATGGAGATTCAGCGCAGACAAAGGGGAGTGAGTATTTATTCACAGAATGCACAGTTGAACTATGGAATTTAGTAGACAAGATGCAGGGATGGACATAACTTGGACAACAGTACAAGGGAATCAGATAAATTAATGGGAGATAAGGCTTATTAAGGGCTCCGAATGGCTATATTCTAACTCCAGAATCTGAAGCAGTACTCCACCCAATACTAGATGGTGGGTAATATAAGCAGAAGCATGCTGTTTCACTCCTTTCTGGGTGTAGGCTTCCTGTAGGCATCCTGTTAACCACTGTGTGTACAGAACAGTGGCCTAGATAGGCCTTTGGTCTAATCCAGCAGGTTACATCTTGCGCTATCATGTAGTGATTTACTCTCTTTGATCTAATTTCAACTGATTCTGCCAATTAAACTTTCATTCTATTTCTTGGGAAGTATTTACTATGTCATCATTATAAGAAGAGCAGAAAAGTTCCTCAAGTTCATTGTAAAATAATCAAAGCAAATTGATAAAAAAACAAAGGGAGATGGGAGCTGGGGGGGCGGAATCTAATCCTTTTAGTAGAATATTGTAAACCTTTGGAAATCAATTTTCTCTGTGTCAGTTCCACATTCTTCTTTTTACCCATTCCATAGCACAGACCAGTGAGCCACGGAGTTGTCAAATAACATTGTACAAGCATCACTAACCAACCTAGGATACACCATCAGCCTCACAAGGTGCTTATGACCAGTGCAACAGACATCGCACAAATGATGTGACATTGACACCAACCTGCTGCACTCCACAGAACATGGTGGAGAGGGGAACTAGTCGGGCAACTAGTCGGACAACTGACCTCCACAGGCAACCTTGAAAGCATTTCCCTCAATAGGAAACCAGGTATTGTCAGGTCAAACCCAGGCCTTAATGCTATTGTACTGCTTGGTCACTACAGACACATTACACTCAAATGCTACAATTTATATTGTTCTCTATAGGATTTAGAAGGAGGTACATTTGACCTATAACACCCTAGAAAATTGAGGCTCTGTATATCAAAGAGTCAACCTTTTTCTTATATCCCATCACAATCTGAATAACAAATTAAGAAGTTCTCTCCTTTCTGCAAGGTTTATACAACATGAAGAACAAGAAAACTTGTTATTGGTGGTGATCCATATAGTTATGGAATTTTACCATTGGATCTTCCAGAAGTGCTAATGTCTGTGTGGTGGTTTTCACTGGGATTTGTGTCTCATTGCTTTAATGGTTCTCTTCTGCAATTCATGCATTTAGTTTTAAAATGCTGAGACCCAGTATCCATCTTTGGGATAGATTAAAGATATGAGTATGCACTGGTATAAAGCACACACCCCATCCCCCACACTAACCATAAAACAGAGCTGTGCAAACCAACATATACACCTAAGGTTATGGGAGCCTTCAACTACCAGGTTAAGCCCAATCCCTGCTCCTTAAAATGTACTACAAAGGTACCCCCAAGAGTTATTCAAGATGGTACTGCATGCTATTGGACATTTATTCCATTCACATAGTCCCTTGATCTTCTGTGTTTCTTTGGTATTGATAGGGTCACTCTGCAAAGTGCTTCTTTGAGCATGAATATAAGAAAGGGTTATCCATTTGGCCCATTTTCCAGAATTAATCATGAAACAGAATCATGCCAGATTGTTTTAAAATGTGATTCAAAAGCTACCAAATGCCAATTAGAATCTCTTTTAAGGACTGAGAAAACAAATGGTCTAGTAACTTATTTTGAAAGAAGGATGCAGGAATGAGGACAAAAGCAAAAAGCAACATGTTTCCTTTACTGCCTCCAGCTTGCTTTTTGCCATGCCTCCTTAAATGGTGCATTTGGGCTGAATCATAGGTTTGTGTTTATCACTTGATGGCTGCAGCATCAAATGGTGACTTGTGTGTGTGAATAAGCCAACACAGCTTGAACACCATTGGCAAATCTTTCATCATCACTTTAAATACTATGTTTTTCAGTACAGTTCAGTCACCTATTCATCTGAGAGTCACTAAGCATACAGTAATAATCTACAATCGTGTGTGCAATGGCCCGGAGTTCAGGAACACACTGAGGTCAATATGTTGCTTCTGTTTGGAACCCAAAACCTTGCAAATAGATTAAGTCCTCCGAGCACTTTATGCTTTTTTCCAGATCCTCCACACCCCTATGAAACCAATATTATCTCCCTGCATACTGGTTTGTTATATCCTGGTGCATAAACATATGAAATCAAGCAAAAAACTGTATCACTTCACTAAAAACAAGCACGAACAAAGAAAAAACCCTCAGTAGTGCCAGGGTTGGTTCTATGTAAAAGAGCTGTGAATAAAATCTTAATCTCTCTCTCATTCTCTCTCTCTCTCTCTCTCTCTCTCTCTCTCTCTCTCTCTCTCTCTCTCTCACACACACACACACACACACACACACACACACACCTTTAGTCATGGCAACAAAAATGTGAAAGGTATTTTGTATAGGATTCAGCTGAAGACTGAAGAAGCAATGCATCATTTTGCTGGGTAAAGAAAAAGAAAATATTCTCCCCACTGCACCTTAAACAATCAAATATTACACCCCTTCTTAAAAAGCCTAACAGCTGCAAGGAAGAAATGTCCCACATTAGTTACAGATTTAAAGGCCAATAAATCTGACTTTTTGTAACCGACAAGATCATCTTCTGAGCCCTCAGTTTCCCCTCATCCTTCTGAACACAGGCACTAGGTGCTGGTGTTGCATTTTCTGAGAACGCCCTTCCCACAGCAGCACAGGGCAATGTTTGATGCTGTGGAGATGTGGAGGCTTCCTAACAACAGGCAAGCAGTACAACTGGAAGACACCCCTACCCTGGGAATCTCTGACCTTCCAAGACAGCAGAGGAATGAAAGCTCGGGGAGTCACCTGTCACTCCTGCCTGCCTGGGGGATTTCTCGCCATCGCTCTCGCTGCAGCTCCCACTCTGTGGCCGTTTCCGGGATGGCCGCTCACCCTCTATGCTGGAGGGGGAGAGCTGCCCACTCTGGCTGTGGTCCTCTCCATTCTCAAGGGGGCAGTCCAGACCTCTTTGCAGTTTCACCCCGTTCTTGGCTTTTTTAAAAAGGACAGATGTCCGCCTGCCCACTCCACTAAACGGGGGGCTGGCAGATGTGCCCGTGACCTGAAGGGCCAATCCGTTCAGGCCGCTGTCGCTGAGCAAGCGCTGGAAGGCGTGGCTCTCCCTCTGCAGCGTCTTCTTATCAAAGCGCTCACCCTCGGACTTCAGCCGTTTATGTAGTCTGTTCAAGGACTTGCTTTCGCTAATGGGTTTGAGAGTTGGAGGGTCCTGCAGAGAGTCCAGCTCCGATAGGGAGGGTGCAGGTCCTGTGGGCTCCAGGGTGGGGGGAAGTGGGGGCTTGGTGTCATCTGCTAAAGAGAAAAAGAATCTGCTTGAACATTTTAGAATGTATTGCCCCAAAGTAAGGATCACAGCTTTCTGTGCTTTTCTATGGACAAAAGTCAGTGAACTAACTACTTTTTCTTGCATACCCTTAAGGAAGGCATTCAGAGGCTAGGTCCACAAGATCAGGGAAGGAAAAGAGGCCAAAAGGCTCCTTTCACCCATTCCACACATGTCTGTTGTGCATTGCCTCATTTCTATAATTTCCTGCATTGGGTGCAGGTTGCCATACCATCTGAACTCAGTTAGATGAGCAGCAAGAGTGGTTGCCAAAGTAACCTGGCACCCACAGCTTGCTCTAGGGCTCTAGGTTAGCTCAGCCTTGCTGGGTTTGGACGATATGTCAACCCGTGCCTGGAGCAGGTAATGATAGTAATGAGTTGGTGCACAACCAACACATGTAGGGCAGGAAGAAGCCGCCACTGTGGATCATGCAAACCCAGTCAGAATGTGTATGGGGTATGTGGGATCATAACTGTGTCACTCTGCTGAGGAACAAGCAAACATACCAGTAATTTAACCAATTATGTTACTTGAGATAGGCAGACCTGTGCATATTTACTTCAGCATACTTTCCACTCAGTTCAGTGGGATCTTCTTCCAAGTAAACATGCTGAAGACTAGGGTGCATAAGACTTATTTCTCCATAGTTCTTAGTTCACTTTTTTTGACCTTCATACCTTTCAGGTACTTTAACCCTGCTATATCTCTGTATGGCATTAAAGGGGCAGGAGATTCAAGGGAGGACCAAAGAGTAAACAAAGAATTTCAAATGTAAAAAAAAATGCATTAAAAGGCCAAGGTCATGCTGCAGCTCAATTAGAAACAGATGTTTATGTGTTCTTTTGTTTTTAAAGAATCTGCCAAACCTTGTGCTAAGGTCACCAAAGACCCCAAGAATGTTCTTCCAAAAACAAACCCAAATTCAAGTTTCTTCACACTAACAAGTTCCTTCCTCACTAACAATAACTTGTCTGAGCATTTCATTCCAGTTTCTGATGGAATGAGATCAGGAATTAATTTACATTTTCCCTCTTTTAAGATTCTACTACTTATTGTCCTCCATTATTTCTATCTGTGCAGTGTTTGGGCAGTCCCCCAAAAAACAAGTTATTCCCTAAACCACCTAAATAGCATTGCAGGGAAACATGGCAGCATATAGTTGATCATAATTCCTGAAGAAGGAATGTCATCATTCAGGAATCTTTTAACAAAGTCATAAGAGAGCAGTGTCCAAATGCAAAGTACACCAAGTCATATTGCCCTATTTAGTACAGATATGAAACAAGAGTGGGGTATATTTTAAACCAGAAATTATGGGTTGGCTAAAACAACCCAGTGGGGTCATTTCCTCACTTTGAAGCAAGTTCTGAAACATCACATGGAGATAATGATATTCTTATGTTGGATAATTGTTCAGAATAGTTTAAACACCTGTACATACCACGTGGCTTTTTAAAGTGCTCCCTAATGACTCCTTCAAGTACCTGTAGTCAATTAGGACTGTTGAAAGACATTTAGCAAAGTCAAGAGGTCTCTCAACTGGTGAAAAATGACCTCATTTTAAACTGGCCCTTATAGCAGTCACTGAGCAGCTGGCTTGCACTTCGCACTGCTATAAGACAACTGAACAACAATATATTAACAACTGAATTTGATATGTATTGCCTCATTTTAGAGAGCTCTAGAAGCCTGAAATGATGAGATGTGCAAAAAAAATGTTACGAATCTCAATCTGCATTTTTAAAGAGTTGTTTTTTAAGATGCCAGTGCCACTGGGGAAGGGGAATTAAATATAAATTTAGCAATCTATGCACCAAACTATCAGAGACAAAGACAAATGAAAGGACCTCAAGCATCTCTTTTTTAACTTTCAACATCTCCCATCAGTTCACAGGATGATTCTCAGAAGCAGCAGGTTGAAGGACCATTACTTGTTGTTCCAACTTATCACTTTTCTCACACATAGCCGCTTAAGCAAGCTCTTTCCCTTTTCTTCCTCTTACCCAGCCTGATACTTGCATACAGTGGGAGGCTGTTTTGCCACTGTATGTACGGAGTGCTGGACTAGATGGACCTTTGGTTGGAGCCAGCATGGCTTTTCTCATACTCAACAGAGCAACTGTTAGACAGACTCAGGAGACCTAGGCCCTAGTACCTGCTTGGCCATGATGCTCACTGGGTGACCTTGGACCAGTCACTGATTCTCAGCTGAAGCCACCTCACAGGGTTGTTGTGAGGATGAAAAGAAGAGCAAGACAATTATGTAAGCCACCTTGGGTTTCTGGTAGGAAAAAAATGTGGGGTATAAATGGGATTACTGCCACCCACTGTGGAAAGAACTTGCTGCTCCAGAAAGCATCTGCTGCTCTGCTGTCACTGTGGCACTGAAAGGAGAATGAAGTCAGGATAGAACTTATTATAATAGTTTGGCAGCGGTGCCTGTTATTGCTGTTCTGAGCTGGGAAAATGCTGTGGTAAAACAGAAGTTACTGGAAAGGAAGAAAGGTAGGAAGGAATGATGGAAGGAAGCAACCAGTAGAGGAGCTGGTTAAGCAGTCGTGACCACCTGAATACATGGTTGGGAAATAGGGTAATTGCTCCGGCTTCCCTAGATAGGGCTGGACTCCTTGATCCTCCCCTCTCAGGAACTGTATCCTCCCTGGGATGGACAGAGCAGTGTGCTACACTGCCTGGTCTGCTGGAGATTTTTCTTAAGAATCAGACAATGGATGTGAAAGTGATGCAATTTGCAATGAGCTTTGATGAACACAAGGGCTTTCGCTTCATTCACTGGAATAATGTGGAGGTGGAATACTAGGACACACTGAAACCAAGCTCACTTAGATCAGCTGTAGGCAGATGTAAGATATCATGTGCACAATGATGCTTTGCTGCATCTACTGATCACAACACAAACTGCCAATATAAGCTTGCAACATCACCACAGACAAAAATGTCACGTGAATTGGTCTTTAGATCCTTTCCCTCTAGGAGTGGTTGATAACATCTTTTAAAATGCACCTGGCATTTCTTTAACTTCCCTAACAAAATTACTCCTGAAAATATGAAGACTTATTTTTGAGAGCAGTATATTCACATGCAAAATAGACTTGAGGGTTTACCTAGTAAAATGAATGTGACTGAACCTTCACTGTCAAATTCATATTGCACTCACTCATATAACTAATGTATTTGGGGGAAGTAATGATGGTGTTCTGTGATTCACATACCACTTGTTAATTTGGTTTTATTCCTTTTCTGTTTGTACTGGGAAGTATACATCCCTATAAATGACCAGCACACAAATGGCCTTTTGAGAGAGGGGACTATTTTATGAGCATCGTAAATTTATTAAGTCACATATTCATTTGAACTGGAAGTGATTATGCAAAGCTTCATATTTTAAATTGTCATTTCTATCCTATTAGAATGTTGTTTGTGTAGATCTCAAACTATGTTTGTGTAAACAATTTTCTCTCATAAATTACTTGCATCTCAGTTAAAAATGCATTGGCTTGATAGAGGTAGATCTTGCTTCCAACCACATATATTAAGAATTTAGCTTTATACACCCAGCTTGCTGTTATTTTTAACAATTTTATCTTTCAGAGGGACCTACAGATGTTGCATATCTGATGTTACCTAATACTTCTTAATACTTTACATTAATGCCAGTTTAAGATACATAATACCAGTTTTTTTAAAACTTCAGTTTTGATTAATTTACTGCTTGCTGGTGTTTTCATTATCAAAGCATCTTTTTTTCATGGTTATAGAAAGATTTTATATGGCCTACCCTAATTATGTCAGATTGCTTTCGTAGTCCCATTTCAATTCTTGAGAATCTGCAAGCAAGCATTTTCTTCATGTCAGAAAACAATGTTTATGACTGAAAATATTCTGAAAGGATTTCCTTACTTTTACAACACAGGGAAATGCTTTTTAAAAATATAATGACCAACTTAAAAAAGGCACTTTTGTGCCACCAGCCATCTAACCCAAGGGGCCACTATTATTCCAACTTTGCATTTGTCACAGAGTGCTGTGACACTGTGTTTGCACAATCCAAGAAGGCCACTGATCTGTGGCTACAGGTACAAGCTTTATGAAGACACTAAAGTCTAGAACAAAACTGCCTGTAAAAAGACAGCATGTTTTGGACAGTGCAGCAGTCAACAGCATTGTCAGGCCTGTGGACAGTGCCTCTGACAATATGATAGGCAGCTGGACCACTTGATTTGTGCTTTTTTACATAGTATTTACCTAGCTTATTTCTGTGAGTTTTTCAGCAGGAAGAGAAGGCAAATTATGTTCAATAACTGTTACTGTTATAAGAATGACATTCTAGGTAAAGCATGGACTGGCCCAACCTATTATTAGAGGGCGGACTCTGATTGTTTCCGTTTTTCCCCTCTATGTACTGCACTTCACATCTTAATAGGGTGCCAAAACCCAAGGACTCTGTTTTCTCATATTGTTTTTAGGACACAATCAAAAAACTACTCAGATACTGCCAGATGCTGTTATTTTATTTAGAAAAAACTATAAGGAAACAGACCTGCTGAAAAAAAGCTAAGAACCTCTCTGTGTGCTATCTTCGATTTACAGCTGATCACAACCCAGCTCAACCCTTTCCTTGCCTTTATCTATTCAGTATCAGTAACCTTCAGAGTGACCAGTTACAGTTCCTTCAGAACCTCACGCTAATAACATTCACAGCCCATTGTTGCAAGTATGTACCCAACAGCAGACCAATATTTGAGGAACATGAGAGTGACAGCCTTTTCAGATTTTATTTTTTTCTGATGGGATTTCCAATTAGTGCTTCCAATCTAGGTGTCATGGTGTAGACCTCTAGAAACTAGAATAAGATCTTCAAACATATTTGAAGGGAAAGTTCTAGCCCAGCATACTCTAGTGATGCCCCTGAGATATCACCATGAAAGCTTTCTGAGCAGCAGCTTTAAGATTCACGACTGCCAAACCTGATGATCATCTACTGCTTTCTCCCAAATTTTCCAGCTCCTGTTGCAAAAATGTAACTTTTGGTAAAGGGCTAAGAATATCAAGAATGTTTCTGATACTCTTTGCTTTATTTCTCATTGTGCTGTTAAAAGCAGCATTGATTTCCTAGCAACTTCTTCCTAACAGAGTGCTATAGCATCTACATGCAAAGATTCGGGTCATAGGTGTCATTGACCCAAATAGTTACAGGAGATCTCCTTTTCCACTTTTTCCCTTGGAGATCTGGTGAAACTGCTCACCTTTCTCACCATTTTCATCCCGTTCTCCTTCTAGCATTTTTTCCAGTCCCTCTTCCCATGGAGCTGGATCTCCATTTGGCATGGTTTTGTTCTGTTGCTGGGCCAGCTTTTGCCGGATAGAATTGATTTCACGTCTCAGGAGGCGGATGCGGCGGGTTCGGGCACCACTCGACCTCATGGTGCTCACCATATCTAGCTTTTCCAGTAGCTCTTTCAGTTGTACCTCCAAGGAGAGGTGAGCCCGGTTCTCGGGAAGGAGAATATTATCAACTGCAATGCAAAAAGGAGTGGTTTGAGCAGCCAGTGACAGACATTTTCCGCCAACTAAAAAGTTATCTCAACTCCTCAGCAATTCAGGCTGTCAACATCACACCTATGCACAGTTCTTACAAAAGCTACTTCTGAACTTTATACCATAAACAGCAAGTACGAATGTTTGAGATTCCACAAAGGTATATGATATGCGTCACAGAGCCAATGGGCAAGTGTGCATGTAGCAGTAACTAATGGATTATTTAACCCATGAGTTATCACGGATAAGCAGGAGTGAATGCACTGCCTCCATATGTACATCTCTTCCATTTTCAGTTAACGATCTATGATTGTCCCATTTGAAGGTCTATACCTGGACATATTGGTTTGTTTAGGGGTTAAACAAACCAGAAGCAATGGATCAGTTCTGTTAGATTTTGGCAATTTTGGAGTTAAATGACTCTTGAATTGCATGGGAACTGGGTCAATGAAAGAGAGAGAGAGAGGGAGAATGAGAAAACATATTCCATAGGATCAGCTGGAAATTAAGGTCTGGATTAGGAGTAGCAAAATAAATATTGCTGTGAGGGAAGTCACCAAACTGGTTTCTTGAATGACTCTCATTTATTACACTTAATGGAGTTTTTATCTTAAGTGTCATGCTATTATTAAAAAAAATCCCAACGAAAACTCACCATCCTCCCAAGAAAAACGATAAAAGTCTTCTGTCTTTGGTGATTCAGGCAAATGAATCCCTACTTGGGGATCAAAACCAATATTCTCAGCTTGCCGCCGTGCATGGCGCAATATTGCCCCTCCAAGGTCTCTGAGCCGGACAGCTGCCCGATGGAAAATGGTGTCTTTAGAATTATACCTCATGCAGTTGGTAAGAATAAGGTTAAAATCCTCCTCAAACTCATCCAGTGTTCGGTACTGGTGGGATTCCAGCTTCTGCCTCATAGTAGAAAAATCCATTGGCTTGGAAATGAATTCCAGGTAATCTGGAACCTAAACATATAAAACCTGTACAATTACAAAAATCATTTACTAGCCAACCAGGGCATACCCATCACAAGAACTCTAAGTGTCCTCTCACTGGCACTGAGGAAGAACACAAATGCTCAGTAATACCAGCCAGTTCAGTCATAACCCATTCTGCTCTGGCAAATAAAATCAGCTTGCTGACATGCAGTAGTTACTGTCCTCAAAACAGTGCCCTCATTAGGGAAGTCTTTGCCTAGGCACCTTTGAGAAATTCCTTAGTTTATGCAACAACAGAACAAATGGGACACGAGCAGTCTAGTAGGGCCTTACTTTTGCCAGCGATAGCATTATGTAGGCATACATCTCAAACAATACTTCCAGGTACTTGCCTCACTCAAATTTACAGGCTCTGCAAAGATCTGGGCTGGATCCTTTTCCTGCAGTAAATCCAGTGTTGTGCGCAGCAGCACATTGAAAGGCGTGAGCTGTAACTCCATAGCAGCTTGCTGAACCTTTACCTGACAATCAGAAAAACAATACCACCCAGAAATATCAAAGACAAAGAAAATCCCCAGGCCTGGGCCTGCCTAGGCACTTCACTTTCAGATCTGAGGATACTCAAAAACAAAACTGCGTTAAAGATGATATACAGTGTACAGAATATAATGAGGAAACATGGATGCAGAAAATATACAAGCAAAGAAAAGTTTGCATTCCCTTTATCTGTGACCATATTGGTTCTCTGAATAGGCCAGGGGATGCTCCATGGGCCTCCAAAGTCACCTGGACAAATGATATATCAGTTCCTCCCCTCAAGCTGTGAACTCTTGTCAGGGATTGTATAAAGTTCCTCTCTCCCCTTGTTCCAGTAACTGTCAGTACACACAAGCTCTAACACCCCTTCTTGGGGAGGGACAAAGTTGCTTCAGGAAAGTAAACAGGTTTGGTTCTCAGCACAAAAGCAGCTATTACCTAAGGAATATATTTGGCAAAAGCAGCGCCAAAGGCAATTACCTATGGTGCTCTTCCTAACAACTGGAAGACCATAAGAGCTTGGCATGGCTTCAAAAAACTATCCTGGCTTTTAGACTTAGGGAAAATTTACTGCACTACCTGTTCAACTTAACAATCTCCTCACCATTCTTCCAGTGGAGCTCATCCAATACAGATTGATAAAACAATTTTTACCAACTGGTCCACTCATCATTCTTAGGACCCTGTAAATATGGTGTGCAAGCTAGTTCCAAAGGAAATCTGGACAATTGCTTTTTCCATCAGACAACAATGCATGAAGCTTATTTATTTGCTTATTACATATCTATACTACCCAATAGCCAAAGCTCTCTGGCAGGTTCACAGCTTTGCAAAGTTCCCTATATCCCTCACAGGCGTAGATATTTCAAGACGGCATTTTCTTGCCCTTTATGAAAGATGTTACAAACACTAAGACAGCCTCCCATGTCTGCACCCAGTTGTGTGCATGGAGGGTGAGGGGTAGAAACAGTCATATGCAGCTTACTTTATATTGTTTGGACAAGTCAAAAGTCACTTAAGGTATAAACAAGTATAAAATGGCATTTCCTGTAAGCAACCCATGCGAGTTCCAGAGGTTACAAAGGTCAGCTTTGTTGAATCCAAGCAGCTAAGTGTTTAAAAATAACTGGATATGCAGAAAAACCATCCTGGCTTAGCAGTTAAAGTGTTGTACTGGTACTCAAGAGACCAAGATTCTAGTTCCCACAGAGCCAGGAACCTCACAGGGTGACTTTGGATCTGTCACTCTCAGCCCGACCTTCCTTGCAGAGTTGTGAGCTAGGAGAGGGCAAGATGATTAGAACTTTGTAATGCACCTTGATCTCCTTGCAAGAGAAACAAAGGCAGACTATAAATGTAATGTAGCAGTGGCAATAATAATAATTAATACCACAACAGACATTGCCATTAGGCAGAGTGAGGCAGCCACTTCAGGCACTTGAATTTGGGTGTCACAAAAGGGCAGCAAATTACTTTCAGTGCAGCTTTAGTGTCAGGCAGCTGAAGACATGCTTGTGGCATTTTCTGCCTTGGGTGTCAAAATAAATGGGCCAGCCTTGGGCCCTTTGAACCTTGACATGGAGAGGTGAGGGCAGGTACCATTTGCAGTTCTGCCTCAAGTAACAGAGAATCTTGGATCAGCCCTGAAAAGAGGACAGGCTGCCAGCACATTGATGTGTATAGCTATGATAATTAATAACCCCTAGCAGTAACAAATATTTTATTAGTAAGTTCTGCAATCAATATTTTCCATGTGGCATTTCTGGCACTTTTCTGTGCTGTTAGTTTCTCAGGACCTACTATTGTTTTCACACAGACACACACAAACTTTATTTTAAACATATTTGACCATATGGCATTAATACAGAATAATATACAATAAGAAGGCTGTTTACAAAAGGCATGCTTTATATTTAATATAATATTTTCATTAAAAGCAAGGTAGTCATAAGAAAAGTCCAGAAAACAAGACTGGGAAAAGTGCTCAACCTATTCTCTTCAAGAATGCACTTCTCCTGAATAGGATCGGGTTCACTGTTTGGCAAGCTGAGAGATGCACTATTCACCCTACATGTCAAAGAAGTGGTCATACCATATAGCGGGTTTCACCAACTGTTAGGCATTTACTATGCCTCCTCCTGGGAAGAGACAATCTGGCTACAATCACCCATCTCTCGTAAGAACACAAGAAGGGCTATGCTGGATCATCTAGTCCAGCATTCATCTGGTCCAGCATTCTGTCCACACAGCTGCTCATGGGCAGTCTACAAGCAGAGCAAGTGTGCAACGTCCCTATTCCCCAGGAAGTGGCATACATAGGCACAGGGCCTCTGATAATACAGGTAGCACATGGCCATCTGGACTCTTAGCCTTCGATTTGTCCTTTTAAAATCATCCCAATCAGTGGTCCTCATTACAAGTGGTAGAAGTGAATCCCACAGTTTAATGGTGTGCTGTGTGAAGAATTGCTCTTATCTGCCCTGCATCTTATTGATTGTATACCACCCTGAACTGATTCTGACCTAAGTCAGATATGTGGGGTTTTGTTGTTGTTGTGGCAATGTGTCTGTGTGATTATTTAAAACAGAGTTCATCTAATACAATTTTGTATTTGACCCATTTCAGAATTTGTTGTCTGAAATCCTGTGCACAAATCCTGTGATAAAAGCCCACTGAATACAAATAGGCTTGATTCTAAATAAACATGCTTAAGATTATACAGTTTTTTGGAGCAATGTGGCAGTAACTCACTGCTTTCTGGCCACCTTTAGCAGTGCTACTCAGTGGCATTAAATCGTGTCTGCCTCTCATTTGCCATGTAAACAGCTGAATGTCTGCATGAAACCATCCCGTAGCAAACTGAAATATCACATCTGGGCTCAAGAAATACTGTTAATAGACCACCAAGACATGCCTCTACCGACCTGCTCACGTTTGAGTTTCTCTCGCTTACGAATTAATTCAATGAGCAACCGTGCCCTTTCTAAGTCATGCCTCAGTTTTTGCCAGTACTTCAGTTCTTCTTTCACTGCAGTGGTCTTTTCATCCTGCTCTTTCTGCAAGTGGAGATAATGTATTTTATTTTTTCTAAAGTAACAACAACTGTAAAGTGCTACACAGGAAAGAAAAACCAAATGGACAGAATCCAATGATTCATAGTCAAAATGAAAATAAAATTCAAAGAAAACAAACGCTGCCCTATGACAGAGGCAGAAGTCTACACTGGCTTTGTTTATCTCCATATTTCATAACAAAATAAAATACATGATTTTTACTAGAGCTATGTACAATGGGAGACTCCACTAATAGAGGTTGTAGAAGTCCCATCTCCATTTTTCACTGCAATTTCTAAAAAGTATCTACCCACCCAAATTAGCAATCCTTTAGCTGGCACAAGTTCTCTCACACACTATTTCAGGATGCAGCAAAATGCCATACCTGTTCGGCATTTCTTTGGGACTGTAAGTGAGAGTGCAGCCGCCGTATTAGTGGGACACCATTTCTTGACTGACGCTTTAAGAGCCAGTAGTTGTGCAGCCTCTGCATAAACTGATTCTTTCTCTGGAAGGAGAGTCCACTGCAGATTTTATTTAGCCTAGGGAAAACAAGAGCATCAATGGAATGCCTAATTTTGTAATGTAATGTGGATACTAGTGAGAACTGTACAGGTATTGCAAGTTCATCACAGGCTTTTCGGTCGTGAAACTGATTCCATTACAAACAGCTCTACAGCTCCAAATAGCAGCAACTATAAAAGGGGCAACATCCAGCCAGCAGCTGAGCTCAAATGGGCCAAATTACTCCAGGAGTTTAACACAAGCAACTTTGTATTTCAGTAACTTTTATGCCACCATTTCAGTTTATTGTTAATATGAGCATGAGGCAATGAACTGAGCTGTAGTTTAAGACTGCAGTCCTAAACATAACGAGGCTATCTAAATCCCACTGACGTAACTGGGATGAACCTATACTCAGCCCATAACTTGCGAGGTATCCTTGTTTCCAAAGAAGCTTGCCATCTAAAATGATTTCTCTCTATTTTCTAACTTGATTCAAAAGGCTTGCATGCGACAGATTCTTGTGCATAAAGCTACTTGTTTCATTCATTTATATATTTGAATTCTTTAAGTACAGCAAATGTTACTTGCCTGTCAGGAGAGAGTAGCTACAACTGTATCCATCAAAGAAGAATATACTATATAAATACACTCATTCGATGTTCTGGCAATGTGTTCAACATTTGCTGTGGTGACCATGTAGCAGAAAAAAATGCCATGTAAACAAAAAACTGAAGAGAAATTTTGAACTGGTTTAGCAGAAGAGTTATGACCATTTGCACCACTTACCGATAAGAAGGAATCTGTGTGACCATCAGTAGAGGTGTAGAAGCACAGGCATCCTTCTTTCCCTTCTGCTTCAATTTCACTTTGTTCTTGTTCTGAGGAGTGTCCTCGTCCACCTTCTCATTCTTTGCAATGTCCTCCTCCCCTTCATGAACAGTAGCTATACATCCTTTCTTCACGCTGCCAGGAGGGGAATGTGCCTCGCAGTAAGCAGTTTTGCGCACAGTAAAGGTGGTGCCATTGAGGCTGGTCTCCCGCATGGGCTCAATCTTCATGAAGAAGCCAGCTCTCTGGGCACAGGTCACATGGAAAGCAGTGTAGCAGTTCACCTTGTGACACTGAATGGCTGCTCCCATGCCCTTTTGCTTGCAAATGTAACAAGTTAATTTCCACCGAGCTGGTGGGATATTTTCTATTCCCTCAATCGGTTCCAGAAACACAGTGTTTGCAAAACAGACTTCCGGGATCCAGATGGCACAAACAACATGGGCCCAGTGACCATCACTGGTCTGTTTGAAGGCTCCACCTTTGTTTGGGCACAAAACACAATCGACTGGGCGGGAAGGGGATTGCAGGCAGCAGCGACAAAGCCACTGTCCCTCAGGGATGTAGGGCACACCGTAGCACTCCTGGTGCACAGCCAAGTTGCAAATATCACAAAACAAAATAACATTGCTGTTATGGCATTCGTCATCCATACAAACACAGCAAACGGCATCCTCATCTATCAAAGTTTGCTGGGTCCCATTGTTACGGCTCTCCAAGTAGGACTCCTTCTCCAACCGATCCACCAGCAGTTCAAAAGTCTCGGCAGAAATGGACCCATAGCCATCATTCTTCCGCTTCTCATTGATCATGTCCAGCCAGGCCAAATCCTCCTCATCCATATCATACTCCACGTCAGCATCAACATCCTCAGGTGGTTTCTCAACATACTGATAGTACGCTGGAGGCAAGGAAGGAGCATCTGGCTGGCTGAAGGAGTCAATCATGCGGAAGCTGGGCTGTGGTAGATGGAAAGATGTCCCAGCAGCATGTTTTGTGCATGCCTCCCTTTTTTTGCCTTTGCACTGAGTCTTCTTGGATTTTGACGGAAACAGTGGCAGTTCACTGTTTTCTTTGTTGCTGTTGCATTCTGTGATGTCCTGGGCAGTCAATTCATCCTCTGTGATGATCTTCAGAGGATCATAAATGCTGATGCGATGAAGACGACCTTCAATATCAACTTCCACTATTCGCTGAGCCTGGGCATATGTCAGTGTCTCCCGTGTGGGTGAGCATTTCAGGCTGTATGGCGAAGGAGAACGTCTCCCCTCAAGGGTCTGCCGGGACCTCCTTCGAGGCTTCCTCATAGCAGCAACTCAGAAAACCTATAGAATAGTCCAACAGAAAAGTGGTTTAAACAGCAGCATCTACAAATACAAGCAGCGCAGATTAATTGAATTGATTGACTGACTGACTGACTGAACTGAATTTAACTGATATTGCTTAGAGTCAAAAGCAATGTTTTGTTCCTTTGGAGGCATATTTGCTTGTGGGAATTAAAAAAAAATAAAGTTGGTTTCTCTCAGTGAGTTGTAGATAGCATTTTAAAATGCAGCAGTTCCTACTTCCTCTGATGCCCAAGAAGATACCTATCCTGAAGTTTTGGCGATATTAATTTATTAATATTGAAATATATCTAAACTAAATTGGTAACTCAGTTAAAACACAGATAATTAACCAACTAACAACATAATCCAATACATGTATCCAATACATGTTGGAAAAAACTCATGTATTGCATGTGGGGGGTTACTCCCAAGTAAGAAGGTACAGGGTTGCATCCTAAAAACAATTAATCTCTGGATAGCCCATAACATTAAGAAATCCTGAATTTGAACTCAGAAATTGTTTTTGCTCCTGTTCTTCTCAAATGTTTAAAAACATGTGGTGATTACAGAAAAAAGAAACAAAAATTGCATGATCCGCTTATAGGAAAGCTAGAAACAGAATGACTAGAGGAGTAACAACCCAAGCAAGTTTTTTAAAAGGAAGAAATGGACAGGAGGAAGACAGTTGTTTGAAAAGTCCTGAAAAAAAGACCTAGTAGGAAAAACACAAACTAATGCGATAAGGTTAACTGAAGCTGGAACTAAACATCGCACTGTCTCTTGAGTGTTGACTAAAAAGATAAAAATGGCCCAATGGTTATCTTTGGTTGCAGGCTGGGTGTGAAGTTTCAAAGTAGCAGCTTACTAGCACAACTTCTGAGGGTTGTTTTGGCAGAAAATACAACTTACAAATGGCTCAAATAAATAATACATAAGATCCATATGTCACTGAGGTATAATGCAGTGCTTCTCATCTCTTGCAAATATGGAGTACATTGCAAAACATGAGGTTTGGCCCATTTGCAAATCTCAGATCAGTTTAATTCTGCAAACACCTTTTCATTGAAGAAAAATAGCCAGTCAGACCTAAAATAGCAATTAATTAGCTCTGAATATAAAGTAGTCCTATTCCAGGACTGACTTTATGGCTGTGTTTGCATATAATACTAAATCAGGCTTTAGTGTTAAGAGGATGAACCAATGCAAGCCTCAAGTTTGTATGGTCTTCCTCTCTTCCCAGTCTCCTCTAGCAAACTGGACATGAGAAGCTTTCACTTTCATTTGAGATTAACTAAAGTTATTGTTATATCTAAACCCTAAACTGTGGTACATTTTTACCAGTTATTCTTTTAGAAACAAGGCAGTTTCTGAAACCATAGTTAAAAGTTGGTTTATTTCAACTAATCATAGATTAACAACAGTGGCCCCATATGGACATCAATATAAGCTATGGTTTTCCTCACTGATTGCAAGGTATGAGGGTTCAATATCCTACACTCCCCTCCAAGATCAGTGCATTACACTGTCTTTGACTTTGAAAAGAGTTTTCCAAGCCATCCTCTCATCTCTGGGACACTTGCCAGGAACTGTTCACTTCATTAACTGCAGTGTGCCATGCTGTTTGGAATAACAAACTCATTAATACTAACTATGGTTAAGTTTAACCATGATTCCTGAAGCTGGCTTGCTTAAATTACTCATAGTTAGCAATAACTAGCTGTGGTTAACTAATGGTGGAAGCAAAAATTGAATTCTGTCTCTTAGCCACAGAGAAGGAAACACACAGACCAGAGGCTCATTGTGGCTTATTTGCACCACACTAAATCAGCTCGTCCAGTTTTGTATGTCTTGATAAATTGCAATTACCCTACAGTGGAAGCAAAAACTTTCTTCCTGCAGTTACTGGGGGTAGGGAGAAATCTTAGGCTCCCTGCAGTTCATCTACACAATGCTAACCCATAGTATGTATTGCATGCAAATAGCACCATCCACAGCAAACGAACCACGTGGATTCAAAATTGCACTAAGTTAAAAAATATTCAGATAACTAGACTCTGTAAAATGCAAGTGCCAAACAGGTGTTGCAAACTTTTTCCCTTGCAAAAGCTTTCTATTTAACTCTGTTTAACAGAGAGAAATTTAGCAGTCACCTCATTCCTACAAATAGGGATTTTCACCTGATATGCAGCTCCTAATGGTGCACCTAATGGGGAACTTCTAGCTTGCCAGCTGGATGTCGCCTGGGTGTTGGGAATGTTCCCAGTGGTTCCCGATTCAGCCCCTTCCATCTTCTTTCTCCAGGCCCAGAGATTTTGTCTCTGATGATCAATGACTGGAGATAAGGCATTTTCTCTAATCTTCTCTGCCACCTAAAAGCATTGTGCCTGTTAAAAAGCTTCCATTAGTGCCAACAAAGGCTTTTTTAAAGGCTAAATGCAGGAAAGGAAGGGCTAATACATGCTCTGTTAAATTAAGCACACATTCTAATGGTGGTAGCTACAATTCAGTTGTGGTTATAGTATGAACCTTTAGCTTGCTCTAAAGAGCACATACCATTCTCAAACTACTTGCTCTGGAGTAATGTAATTTAAGTCAGTAAGGCAACTTTGCATTAAATTGCTTAAAGACTGCTGCAAAATAGTAAAATGGGGGGGGGGGGGAGAACCTAATTGCCCAGCTACCAAAATACTGATGCTGACACCTAGAAATTTGTTTTTCTCCCTGCTCTATGAAGCATCTAGCACCTAAACATAATAACATTATTATGAATAATAAAACTATTATGCTGTCTTCTAAACAATTTAAACATTTTAACAACATCTGTTATCCAACTATCCAAATGGTTATATAAAATCTAATCACCCACATCTTAATGAGGTTTTTAGCAATAAAATTATTATTAATAATTGTAATTCTGGAACTGTAGGTCCTCTTACCTGGAAATAAATTCTTCTGAACTCCATAAGACTGCCTTCCAGGCAAACATGGACAGAACTAGACTATCAGAGTACCTATAAAATTTGCAGCGTTGTGTATCTTTAAAAAGTAACGGTGTACCCTGACTAAAACTGCAAAATGTTCTGTACAGAAAGTACCTGGAAAGACATCGCTTGAAAGTGCCTATAGCCACCTGGTTCTTTCCAAGCACTTCAGCATTAAGCATTTTGCAGGCATTGGTGGTATCAAATTTGAATAATTACCCTTAATCCTGTGGCCTTTCAACAGCTAGAAGTTAAAATTTGCAGTAAACAGTGATAGGTTATCCTGAAAAAAGAATTATAAAATTTCCTGCTATCCTAAAACAACTGAGATACAATTTAACACATTCAACTTCCATTTGCTCACTTTACATGATGCTGCAATATTTCAGACATTTTCCCAAGAGCTATATGTATTTGAACCAAGCAGGGAAAAATTAATACACATTTGCTATGCTACTGTAACCCCTATGAAATATTGGTTCAGTCCCAAGAGGTGGGATTAGGAGCAGGGCAGCGAATAAGATTTGAATCGAAGAGTGGGAAAGCTGAAGGGGCAGGAGCTGCTGTTGCCACTTAAGGACTGCTAAGGCCCTTGCCTACTTGGTCTATGTTTTTGAAGATTCTGCATGTGGAGCTGATTCTTCTATGTTATCAATATTCAGACCAGTTGAGGAGGATATCTTGGATTTTCTTGTCCAAATTTGAATTTAAAAGGACACTTGAACTTTGCAATTCTACAAGCAATTTCTGTATTAGTGCTATTGCCAAAGACTTGGGTGCACAAGTTGTCACATTTTATTGTTAGACTTGCTCACGTTATCTGTTATATAATTGTGAATAAGAAGAGATTCATTCTGTGAAAATGTGTTTGCAATGTTCATTAATAGATCATTAAGTAAACAAATAGCCCCATAGAACCTATAAGTGTTACAGTATCCTATACATATCTACTCAGATGTAAATGAAACTCAGTTTACTACCAGGTAAATAGATACAGGATAAAAAGGTAAAACGTTAAGGTTTCCCCTTGACATTAAAGTCCAGTCATGCCTGACTCTAGGGGACGGCGCTCATCTCCGTTTCCTGGCCAAGGGAGCCAGCACGGCATGACTAAACACTGAAGTGCACAGAACACTGTTACCTTTCCACCAAAGTGGTACCTTTTTATCTACTTGCATTTGCATGCTTTCGAACTGCAAGGTTGGCAGGAGCTGGGACAGAGTACGGGAGCTCAGCCCGTTGTGCAGATTCGAACCGGCGACCTTTCGATCAACCAGCACAGCAGTTTAAACCACTGGGCCACCTGATAGCAGCCTTCAAAAGCAATCTCCTGGGGAGAGAGTCCATGCAGAGGAATGATCACATCCTAAACCCTATCAAGTTTTTGTTGGTCAGGACAGAAGTGGGAAAGCAGCTTTATTCCTTTTCCCTCTTTGCTAAGCTAGTTTCTGTTATGTAAATGTTTCCCATTGGTCTTTATGGGAGAGAAAATAAGTACACAGGCATGAAGGGCCTACCGAGGGAATAGGGGGGCTTTTCATACAGAATATCTAAGGACCTCCCTTGACACATTCCTTTTTACCATCTACCACCAGGGGTGGCAACTTCAAGAGCCCCAGGGACCATTTTTGCCCCTGTAACTCCCTGTGCAGACCACAGTTCTTGGAGACACGCAAGGAAAAAAAGATTTGCTTGCTGCCACCATCCAGGAAAGACCCTCGCAGGCAGAGAGGAATATTTGCTGCATCCCCTTACAGGCCCCAAGCAGCCTCCCAGAGGTGCCTACGATTGCTCCCTTAATGTGACCTAATGGTTATATTTAAACACATTCAAAGCTTTTACTTGGAAACTATTGTTATTGCCATGTGTAAATATTTTATAGCATGGCAACATAATTAGACACGCTTTTCATACATTATTTAGATCTGGCAGTTAAAAAAAGTTGTTAATGTACTAATTTTAGCATGCCCAAAGAGTTGTGTGCTTAGGTAGATGTGTTTCCTAGTGATCAGCCCT